TAAGTGATGAGATTTTTTTTTTTTAATAAAATAATTCATATGTAAACTTGTTTTTTTGTTGCCTCACTGTTGTTACTAGAAAGTCCACCTGGGCAGTGAGAATTCTGTTGTAATATCTCGGGCTTAATTCCACTAATATATTTGCTGGGTCTTATCTGTGCATGCCAGATAAGATCTGAATTACAGCCTGAAGTCAGTAAGAGTACTTATCTAGACACTGTATTTATCACCTTGCATACATCCTGCAGCCAGAACTAAGGAGACTCCTCCAGCCTTTTACCATATTCTAGTAATAACACAAGTCACAGTAGTGAAGGTGCTGACAGACCTGGCAAAGTTTGCCCTGTATGCCTCATGGTTGTGAATTTTCTTCTTAAACATTTTTTGCCAGAGGGCATGTATGCTTGCCAGAAAGACAGAGAGGCAGAGTGAAAAAGCAACCTCAATGGGCATGGTCATATTGCAATCCCTTCTTCTCTATTTTTCCCTTCTTCTAAGATTTTAGGCATGCATGTGTATGTATGTGCCTGGTTTGTTTCTCAAGCCACTAGGTCTGGGACTTGAACTGTGCAGTTGGCCACATGGTATCCAGCCTCCTTAACCATCACTTTACAGGCTGGCGCTCGCCAGACAGGCAGAGAGAGACAGAGAAATAGAAAGCGAGAAATCACCCCCCAGGGGGGATGGCCACGCCACAGTCCCTTCTCCATTCTCCTCTCAGGATCTCGGGCACACACGCACACGTGCCCGGCGTGAGTTTAAGCCACTGAGTCTAGGACTTGAACCACGGTCAACTATGTGGGAGTCCAGTGACATAGCCATTACACTAACTGCTGGTCCCAGGCCCATGAATTTTCTTAGAGAGAGAGGTTTTCAGTAGACACACAGCCCTGCTTATTTTGTTTGTTTGTTTGTTAGTTTTTTTGTTTTCTTTTTTTAAAGTTTGTTTATTCCATGAGAGAGAAGGGGGGGCACCCTCCAACAGGGTCTTCACCATGATCCACCCCCAGACTTAGCCAGTGAAGATCATGGGCATGTGCTCTTGGGATATGAACCAAGAACCTTTTCTTATGGCCTCAGCATTGTGTTGCCATTGCATCACTATAGCTGGCCAAGCCCTTGCTTAGATTTAACAAAGCTCAGACCTTTGACTTTAAGAAGCCTGGGGAAGAAAGAGACTTCATTTTCTCTTGTGTCTGCCCCTTCAGGTGATGCTGCCAGTGTGATCCAGTTTGGGAAGTCGGCTAAGCGAACACCGGAGTCCACCCAGATTGGGCAGTACGGAAATGGGTTAAAATCGTAGGTATACTAGAAGCCTGTCACAGGGCTCGAAACAAAAGCAAGCAGTACTCTCCTGCTTCTCTCAGATGAAAACTTCCCCTTGTCCTTCTGTGTCTATAACTTCAGAACAGGAGGAAAATCAGGAATAGGGACTTGGGGGTAGCTTACCAACTGTCATCCAGCTGGCTTTGTTCCATTGATTGAAGAGTATGAATGTTCAAACCAATTGAGATAGGTCGGGCTGTAGATTTCTATTCGGCTCCTGCTCTAGGATTGTGCCTCTCTTCCTGTTGAAAATTCTTATTTTTACCCTGTCAGTTGGGGATATGAGTGATTCTCTTGTGGGGTTGGGATGTCTGAGATGATGAGGGAGTTGCCTCACAGCTCAGCAATGTTCCCTGAACACCTGCTGTCACCTTTTGTGGCACTGGGGATCCAGTTGAGTAAGATACTTGAGTTCTCCTTCCTGGAGGACATTGTCTCTGTGCACATGTCTTATGAAGCCTTGTAGCAGGACTCTACCTAATATCTTCAATTCCTTGGGGACTTTTTTCTTAGCCCTTGGTTCCTACTTGTTTAGTGTTTGGAATGTGTTGTTCTGGTTTTGAGTGAAGCCCCAAGAGAAAGGTTTCTATTTCTGAAATGCTCACTTCCAGCTGCACATACCTTTGGATGGAATAAGATTCAGTGAAATTGGAGTTTGTGCAAATGGAGTTATGAGTCACATTTCCAGTCTTACTGAGAAAATGTGTTGTTTTGTTTGAGAGAGAGTGGTTGTTTGATCAGTTAACAGCATCGGTTGGGCCTCACATGCTTTGAGGTATGGAGAAGAGTGTGTGTTTCCAAAGAAACCAGGACCTGGGACTTGGACTTTGCAGTTTGTCTCAGCGTGGGAACTAAATGGTAATAACAAGCACTTTCCAAGTGCTTTTCGAGAAACTTCACATGGATAATCTCACAGTAGCCCTACGAGTTGTAGATACTCCTATTCTCATTTTCAAATGATGAAATTGAGATTTATAGAGGTGAATTGATTTGTCCAGAGATGTAAAAATGCGTATGTGTAGGCCTGGGATATGAAGTAAGTCTTTTTAAATGGTTGAGGGCATGTGCATACTCATGGAAGACAGAGAAAGCATCCTAGCCATGATCCCCTTCCCACAGCCCTCCAGCTTCTCACTATCTTGGGTACCTGCCATATGCACCTGGTTTGTTTTCAAGGTGACCCAGAGATCTGAACTTGTGGTCAGTCAGGTGGCTTATAATACTGTAGTCTGGTACTTTGTGGATTCCATCACCTATGCTGGGTCATGAATCAGGTCTTTCTGACTGAAAATCAGAAGTTGCTGTCCACTTCTTCTTTTCAATCAGACAAACTAAGCTTCAAATCTCACCTCAGCCACTTATTCTCTGTGCCTCAGCTTCCTCTTCTGTAGACTGAGATTATAACACATACTAAGTAGATTAAGGATTAAATGCTATAATTTATGTGAGAGCCTGGTTTCTGGCTTCTTTATTTCTCCCCCTCTGATTTTTGTATGGCAGATTCCTGGCCTGACTCAGTGGGTCTGGGTAGGGCCTAAGAATCAGATGACCTAAATGACTTGCGATCACAGATGAATCACTTAGGAACCTTCACTAGGTGATTCTGTTGCAGGTGGCCTACATTCCCAGTAACCGCTCTCCTAGAGTCAGTGGAAAACCCTGACTTTCTTTACGGATTTTATATCATCCTTCTCTACCTGATTTTTTCAGTTCAGTGTCCTTAGACAATCCATTTCACCTCTCTGAATGTCTGTTTCCAAATCTAGAGAATGAGGTTCTAAATCTCTGACAGTCTCCCTTCTAGAGTGAGGTTCAGGAGCAAATGAAATGTAACTCTGAAAGTGCATGGAAGACTAGGAAGAAAAGTTTATAGAATTTGAGAGTGTTGTCATTAGTGTATTTTGGTAGAAAACTTTGGTGAAGATCTCATTTGAGACGGAGCCATCTAGTGTTCACAGTATAATCATTTCGAAACCAGTTCAGAAGTTGAAAAAGTTTTGAGGAGGAGGTGATTTGTAGAGGAATGGATCCAAGTAAGTGATGAGATTTTTTTTTTTAATAAAATAATTCATATGTAAACTTGTTTTTTTGTTGCCTCACTGTTGTTACTAGAAAGTCCACCTGGGCAGTGAGAATTCTGTTGTAATATCTCGGGCTTAATTCCACTAATATATTTGCTGGGTCTTATCTGTGCATGCCAGATAAGATCTGAATTACAGCCTGAAGTCAGTAAGAGTACTTATCTAGACACTGTATTTATCACCTTGCATACATCCTGCAGCCAGAACTAAGGAGACCAGCCCAGCCTTTTACCATATTCTAGTAATAACACAAGTCACAGTAGTGAAGGTGCTGACAGACAAAGTTTGCCCTGTATGCCTCATGGTTGTGAATTTTCTTCTTAAACATTTTTTGCCAGAGGGCATGTATGCTTGCCAGAAAGACAGAGAGGCAGAGTGAAAAAGCAACCTCAATGACGCTAACTGCTGGTTCCCAAGGGTGAATATTTTTTTCAATTCTTTAAAAGGATCTTCCACTGTCTTTTCAAACTATTTTTGCTAAAAATATAGTATCTGTAGTATCTTTATCTTTGTTTCTGTGTACAACTCTGTGGCTCTGTTTTAGATTGTTTTGTCTTTTTCTTTCTTTTTTTTTTTTTTAAGAGAGTTTTTTTTGCTATAGGGCGCGTGCGCTCGCCAGACAGGCAGAGAGAGACAGAGAAATAGAAAGCGAGAAATCACCCCCCAGGGGGGATGGCCACGCCACAGTCCCTTCTCCATTCTCCTCTCAGGATCTCGGGCACACACGCACACGTGCCCGGCGTGAGTTTAAGCCACTGAGTCTAGGACTTGAACCACGGTCAACTATGTGGGAGTCCAGTGACATAGCCATTACACTTACTGCTGGTCCCAGGCCCATGAATTTTCTTAGAGAGAGAGGTTTTCAGTAGACACACAGCCCTGCTTATTTTGTTTGTTTGTTTGTTAGTTTTTTTGTTTTCTTTTTTTAAAGTTTGTTTATTCCCTGAGAGAGAAGGGGGGGCACCCTCCAACAGGGTCTTCACCATGATCCACCCCCAGACTTAGCCAGTGAAGATCATGGGCATGTGCTCTTGGGATATGAACCAAGAACCTTTTCTTATGGCCTCAGCATTGTGTTGCCATTGCATCACTATAGCTGGCCAAGCCCTTGCTTAGATTTAACAAAGCTCAGACCTTTGACTTTAAGAAGCCTGGGGAAGAAAGAGACTTCATTTTCTCTTGTGTCTGCCCCTTCAGGTGATGCTGCCAGTGTGATCCAGTTTGGGAAGTCGGCTAAGCGAACACCGGAGTCCACCCAGATTGGGCAGTACGGAAATGGGTTAAAATCGTAGGTATACTAGAAGCCTGTCACAGGGCTCGAAACAAAAGCAAGCAGTACTCTCCTGCTTCTCTCAGATGAAAACTTCCCCTTGTCCTTCTGTGTCTATAACTTCAGAACAGGAGGAAAATCAGGAATAGGGACTTGGGGGTAGCTTACCAACTGTCATCCAGCTGGCTTTGTTCCATTGATTGAAGAGTATGAATGTTCAAACCAATTGAGATAGGTCGGGCTGTAGATTTCTATTCGGCTCCTGCTCTAGGATTGTGCCTCTCTTCCTGTTGAAAATTCTTATTTTTACCCTGTCAGTTGGGGATATGAGTGATTCTCTTGTGGGGTTGGGATGTCTGAGATGATGAGGGAGTTGCCTCACAGCTCAGCAATGTTCCCTGAACACCTGCTGTCACCTTTTGTGGCACTGGGGATCCAGTTGAGTAAGATACTTGAGTTCTCCTTCCTGGAGGACATTGTCTCTGTGCACATGTCTTATGAAGCCTTGTAGCAGGACTCTACCTAATATCTTCAATTCCTTGGGGACTTTTTTCTTAGCCCTTGGTTCCTACTTGTTTAGTGTTTGGAATGTGTTGTTCTGGTTTTGAGTGAAGCCCCAAGAGAAAGGTTTCTATTTCTGAAATGCTCACTTCCAGCTGCACATACCTTTGGATGGAATAAGATTCAGTGAAATTGGAGTTTGTGCAAATGGAGTTATGAGTCACATTTCCAGTCTTACTGAGAAAATGTGTTGTTTTGTTTGAGAGAGAGTGGTTGTTTGATCAGTTAACAGCATCGGTTGGGCCTCACATGCTTTGAGGTATGGAGAAGAGTGTGTGTTTCCAAAGAAACCAGGACCTGGGACTTGGACTTTGCAGTTTGTCTCAGCGTGGGAACTAAATGGTAATAACAAGCACTTTCCAAGTGCTTTTCGAGAAACTTCACATGGATAATCTCACAGTAGCCCTACGAGTTGTAGATACTCCTATTCTCATTTTCAAATGATGAAATTGAGATTTATAGAGGTGAATTGATTTGTCCAGAGATGTAAAAATGCGTATGTGTAGGCCTGGGATATGAAGTAAGTCTTTTTAAATGGTTGAGGGCATGTGCATACTCATGGAAGACAGAGAAAGCATCCTAGCCATGATCCCCTTCCCACAGCCCTCCAGCTTCTCACTATCTTGGGTACCTGCCATATGCACCTGGTTTGTTTTCAAGGTGACCCAGAGATCTGAACTTGTGGTCAGTCAGGTGGCTTATAATACTGTAGTCTGGTACTTTGTGGATTCCATCACCTATGCTGGGTCATGAATCAGGTCTTTCTGACTGAAAATCAGAAGTTGCTGTCCACTTCTTCTTTTCAATCAGACAAACTAAGCTTCAAATCTCACCTCAGCCACTTATTCTCTGTGCCTCAGCTTCCTCTTCTGTAGACTGAGATTATAACACATACTAAGTAGATTAAGGATTAAATGCTATAATTTATGTGAGAGCCTGGTTTCTGGCTTCTTTATTTCTCCCCCTCTGATTTTTGTATGGCAGATTCCTGGCCTGACTCAGTGGGTCTGGGTAGGGCCTAAGAATCAGATGACCTAAATGACTTGCGATCACAGATGAATCACTTAGGAACCTTCACTAGGTGATTCTGTTGCAGGTGGCCTACATTCCCAGTAACCGCTCTCCTAGAGTCAGTGGAAAACCCTGACTTTCTTTACGGATTTTATATCATCCTTCTCTACCTGATTTTTTCAGTTCAGTGTCCTTAGACAATCCATTTCACCTCTCTGAATGTCTGTTTCCAAATCTAGAGAATGAGGTTCTAAATCTCTGACAGTCTCCCTTCTAGAGTGAGGTTCAGGAGCAAATGAAATGTAACTCTGAAAGTGCATGGAAGACTAGGAAGAAAAGTTTATAGAATTTGAGAGTGTTGTCATTAGTGTATTTTGGTAGAAAACTTTGGTGAAGATCTCATTTGAGACGGAGCCATCTAGTGTTCACAGTATAATCATTTCGAAACCAGTTCAGAAGTTGAAAAAGTTTTGAGGAGGAGGTGATTTGTAGTGAGAATAAGGAAAGCCAACAGAGGTGGTGTTCTGGCATTCTTGTTACTTGGGCCCAAAGGTCAGGATCACAGACAGAGGGAAGAAAGAAGCAGAGTGAGTTTTTTTGCCAAATTAGGGCAAGGGCAAGCTTTGACAAAAGGCAAGATTATGTCTTATTTTGCTACCCGAATGCTTCAGGGAGATGAGAGTGGGGTGGGGAGGGTTGGAGGGGGCTGTGACATTGTCAGAGGACAGAGCATTGCCAGCACTTGGGTTTCTGAAGGAGGAGAAGCAGGACTTGGCAGCCCCCAGGGTATTTCTGGATAGTGTCCTGGGAGTTTTCTGAGTGTTTGGGGAAATGGGGCATGACATTCATTTGTGTGCTTGGCATGCCAGTCTGGTTTGTATTTGTACATAGAAGAGGGTAATGAGGCTTCCCACCTCCATCATCTCCCCGGGGTGTTATGAGGACTAATGAGATAATAGCCATAAAGCCCCAGAAGCTGTTCAGAAGGAAGGAGCTGAACAGCTTCATTGTTCAGTAGGCAGTTCTCCCACTGCTGCTTCATATTTCTGCCCTTGTCTATGCTGCCTGGAAAGGCCTGTCCCTGCATGCTCTTCTGATGGTTTAACATTGCCAGGGGAAAGAAGCAGTTGATTTTATTCAGACTCTTGCCTAGTAGAAGTTGGTTTCAAGGCTTAGTTCCCAGAAGCCAGTAGCTAGTAGAGACCTGCCTGTGTCCTAATGAGCTTAAGGTGGCAAAGCTGTTCTGAGACTGAGGATGACTATAGTTACTGTACAAGAACCAGTTAAGGTCTCCTTGAACACTATGGTCAAGAATTAAAGTTCCTTAGCCCTTATCTTTCACTGAATCTTGGAGTCATACTGGTTTTATTTTTTAGGACTTAGAAGTGGCCTGTTCCCTCAAAGACGCTGACATTTGATGAGTAGCCAGGCCAGGAGGGGAATTTATGTCAATGAAGTATAGGATGGGGACTGGGTATGGTCAGCATGGAAGGTGACAATGTATTTAGTGCCACAGAGTGAGATGTGAAGGTGGCATAGCAGCTCTTGTGTGGCTGGGATGAACCTGAAGCTTAAGAGCAACAGGGTTACTTGTTCACATTATGGCAATAGGCTGGAGGCGAGACTAACCTAGGGCTGCTGGTCAGTGGTGCACATGCCATAGAGGGTAGGTACCCTGTGTAGAGGATAAGTGTGTTGAAAAGGTTGTAGGTGGAGATTAGAGAATCACAGTCCAGCAGAAGAGCAGAGCAAAGAGTGTCAGATGGTGGATGGGGAAGAAAGTTCATGAAATTCAGCTGGGTCCTGGGACCTTAGGAGGCCTTTAAGAAAGCCCTCAGAGGTGGTTATAATCATCTCCAGAGGGTGGGTTACTCCTTTTCAGATGAGCTTTTTTTTTTTTTTTTTTTTAAGAATTATTTTTTTTATTTATTTTTTAATTTGACAAGAGAGAGAGAGAAAGGGAAAGTAAGAAAGCTAGCCACCAGGTCTGGGACTTGAACCATGGTTGGCCATGTGGGAGTCCAGTACCTTAACCACCACACCACCTGCTGGCCCCTCATAGGGGCTTTTGAATCCCTGGGAGAATAACTTATTTCTGCTTCTCTTTCAGGGGCTCAATGCGCATTGGGAAAGATTTTATCCTCTTCACCAAGAAGGAAGATACCATGACCTGCCTCTTCCTGTCTCGCACCTTTCATGAGGAAGAAGGAATTGATGAAGTAAGTCCCATCCTCGGAGTCTGAGTCACCACTCCACATTTCCTAGATCTGCCCAGGCTGTTTCTTTTTCTTTTTCTTTTTCTTTTTCTTTTTCTTTTTCTCTTTCTTTTCTGTCCTGTCCTGTCCTTTCCTTCCTTTTTTTTTTCCCATTTATTTATTTTTACATTTTTCCACAGATACTGACTTTACATATCAAAAAATTTTTGCTCATATCCCATAGTTCTTGACAGATAATAAACAATTTTCAAAATTTCAGAGTACTGAATTTTAAAGATAATGTTCAAAATATTTCTTATAATTTTGTTTGTGACTCTATATAACAACAGAGACAGTGTACTGGGCATTTACCCAGGCTGTTTCAAGGGAGAGGGATGTTTGTGATGCCGGGCTCTTTAGGGTTGCAAGATTGGAGTGTATGCCCTGTGTTATAGGATTAACTGGTTAGAGGAACTGATCGAGAAGGTAAGCAGATGCCTAATGTGAAAGGAAGTGAAATCTCAAAGTACTTCAAAGAACATCTGGCCTCTTTCTGAACATGAGACCATCAGGTCACAGGAGCCAAGAGATAGATTTGTAGCTCCTTTTGATCTGTAGCTTGAATTCTGTGTGTGGGGACGGGTGTCTCCATGGAGAGTCATTTTATCAAGGGAAGTATTTTGGGCTTCCCCGGATATGGGTAGAGATCACAGCTGTCAGCAGTTACAGAACGGTGTCTTTCACATATGATGATCATTTTGTGGAATGTGCTGTGGACATGTTGCTATAACTGCCTGTGTCATAAGCCAGGAATCGGACACTTGTGGGGCCCAGGCAGGTAATGAAGCAGGTAAGCATACAGAAAACACCAGTGTGAGCTTGTTAAATGGTAGCTAACACTCAGTCTCACTTTGGGAGTGGCTGCTACATAGTCCCAGTGATTATTGCTATGCTAGAAGGAAGGTTTAACGATCCAGGATATTCTGACTTTGAAACATTTTGATAATTAACTGTGCTCAGCTAATTCTTTTTGTAGCCTGGTGGCTCCTATATCTCTCTGGTGAGGCCTATGCCCTCTTAGTGGGGGGATGAGGGAAGTCCTATGATCTGTGTGGTGTAAAACTGGTCTCTCACCTCCTTTCATTGTGAGAAATGGTGGAGAGAGGTTGTGAGAGGAAACTGAGAGGTTCTGGAGAAAGGAAGGCGCAGCTGTCACGTAAGCAGATTATTGAATTCAGACTTTTGGTCTAATTAATTTAGTTTGGTTAGCTGTGATTAAATTTGTACTGGCCCTTGTTTAGATCTGTGCTGAAATCCTAGCAAACTATTGCAGTCCATATTGAAGATAACAGGTCATCTTTTCTACTATCTTTACTTGGCCAGCCTTTGGATTTATTTGCCTTTTTGGTGTGCAGTATGTTCATTCCACTTGGCATGAGAGAAGTGCTGCAGCTAGGAAGAGCTTGCATTATAGATGAAGGTAGGGCAGGGGTATGTAGCCAGAGCTGGGATTTTCAGGAATGTTTCCCGATGAAGGACTGAGTGTGATGAAAGGGGGCTGTTCAAGTCAGTAGAAACAGCTTGCTCAAGGCCCTGAGGGTTGGTGAGGACCATGGGAGGGGACTGGTTAGGAGGAACACCTGAAGAAAGTTGGTGGCCTTTGCAGAGCAGGGAGGGCCAGGGCAAGCTTGACTTCAGGGCCTTGTTGAGAGTGTGGGATTTTGTTAAGCAAGGGGGTGGCAGGATCAGACGCTCTTTTTGAAACATCTGTGTTTTTGTGTGGTAATTGGATCAGAAAGATTGGGGTAAATGGTGGAGTGGACCAGTCAATAGGCCTTGGCTTTGTGTAACCTGGTAGGACTTGCAGCCTGGAGGTGAGCGAAATAGATAAAGTTGTCATCTCTTTAGGAATAGGACCTAAAGATTTGCTGATGGATTGGTGTAGGAGAGAAATCATCACCAGCTCACAGGTTCTGGTGTGGCAGTTGGAGTGGTAAGCTGGAGCTAGAAAAAAATGGTAAGGGGGTAATATAGGGGATAAGAGTGTAAGTTTGATCTAGATGTGCAAAGTGAAGTTTGGATCTGGAGTTTGGGGGAGATCTGGGTTCCAGGATTCTTGGTAGCAAATGAACTTACCTAGAAAGAATAGAGTGAGAAGAGGACCTGAGACCTAGGGCAGGCCAGCATCTAAAGATCAGGGAGAGGAGAAAGTGGTGAAGGAGACAGGAGCAGCCAGCGAGGTAAGTGGACAGTGGAAGAGTGGTGACATTGACGCTAAAGGAAAAATGTCCCAACAGGCAGAATGGTGCTATTAGAAGTGAGTGCCCACATTATAAAGTGATGCCATTGTCACCTGGGTCTGCTGTGAAGAGTAGGAGGTATATAGGGTGAGGTACCACCAGTTGACAGAACACAAATGGAACTCAATTCCCCTGGTGGAAAAACTAGGTTGGAATTTTTTCCTTACTTGGTGCTAGAAGGTCACTATTTTGGATTGTACACTAGTGCGAACTCAGCCAAGATTTCAAAATAAGATCATTTTCGGCTGAGGAGGAATGTGTGCAAACCAGCCCTAGGGTTGAATACTCTGAGCATGAAGCTTCTTAGAAATCAGCAGAATGTCTCAGAACTCTCAAAAGTTTATCATCCTAGACTTATTAAGCTATCGAGCCCCCTGTTTCCGAAGGGTAGGGCATCTGATTTAAACCCCTGAGATGCTCTGTAAGGGCTCCTGGCTCAGGGAAGAGGGAACAGCATGATAAAGCCGCTGAGGAATTGGCATTTGAAGTAGGATTTTTGAAAAGAGTAGGACTTTTAAAGACATTACCTAAACATAAAATTACATTCCATGTAGGGAATGGTCTAGGGGTTCAGGGAGCCTGTATTTCGCATGATCGACCATGGTTTGAGGTTTTTTTGTTTTTTGTTTTTTTTGGGGGGGAGGTTTTTGCTACAGGGCACGTATGCTCACCAGAGAGACAGAAAGAGAGAAATCACCCCCCCAGGGGGATGGCCACGCCGCAATCCCTTCTCCTCCATTCTCCTCTTGGGAACTTGGGCACGCATGTACACATGCCTGGCATGAGTTTAAGCCACTGGCTCCAGGCCTTAAACAGCAGTTGACTACATGGGAGTCCAGCGCCATAGCCATTATGCTAACTGCTGGTCCCCCATGGTTTGAGTCTTGATCCTGGTAGCTTAGGAAATAATAGATATGGGGCCAGCAGATGGTTTAATGGTTATGTTGCTGGTCTCCCACATAGTGGGCCATGGTTTGAATCTTGGACCCAGTAGCTTAAAATTCAATGCTGTGCATGTGTGCGTGCATTCCCAAAATCCCAAGAGAAGAATGGAGAAGAAGGGATTGTGGCATGGCCATTCCCATGGGGATTGATTTCTCACTTTCTGTCTCTCTGGTGAGCCTACATGTCCTATAACAAAAAGATCTCTCAAAAAAAGGGGGAGCACTGGATGTATGTATATGTGTGCCTAAAATCTTGACAAGGTGGAGAAATGGAGAAGGGATTCAGCGTGCTGCCTCATTAGAGGGGGTGCTTTCTCATCTGTCTGTCTCAGGTGCATGTGACCTCTGGCAAATAATAATAAAAAATTCCATGTATATGGGAGAGTAGATTAAATATATATAATTTTATATATATATTGGGTTGTTGGAAAAGTCATGACATACTTTTCTATGCAAAGATGCATCATGATTTTTCCAATGACCCAAGATAAATGTATGTACTTATATATAACATGTAATTAACTGTACTTAAGTATATGTGTGTGTGTGTGTGTGTGTGTGTGTGTGTGTGTGTATACATATGCGGGGTCATTGGAAAAATCATGACGTATTTTTCTATGCAGAAATGCATATTTTCCAACGACCTCGTGTGTGTGTGTGTGTGTGTGTGTGTGTGTGTGTGTATTTTTGCTGTAGGACACTTGTGCTCACCAGAGAGAGGGGGAAAGAGAAATCATCTATGAATTTTTTATAAACATGCTATAGGATTTTTTTGTTTCTTCTTTCAAGTAACATTGTGTTTTGATATTCATTCATGTTGATGTTGCTAGCTTTTTTTTTTTTTTTTTTAAGGTTTTTCCCATAGGGCGTGTATGCTCACTGGAAGGAGACAGTGAGAGGGGAAGTGAGAAATTATCCCTCAGGGTAAATGGTCATGCCACAGTCCCTTCTCCATTCTCCTCCTGATAATTAGGCATGCACATACATGCTCCTGTTCTTTTTCAAGCTGCCAGGTCTGGGACTCAGCCACATGCAAGTCCAGCACCTTAACCACCTTACTATGTGCTGGCCCTGCTTTTTGATTTTTATTACTGCCCAATGTTCCATTGTCTGAACATACTGCATTTTAATTTAGCCTCTCTGGAGAGGCTATTTGGATCTTTTTTGTGCATGTGTATTGGTACATGTATGTGTTTCTCCTAGGCTGTAAACCTAGAGGTTGAAATTACTGAGTTGTAGGTTACATTATGTGTATCTTCAAATTTACTAGAAAATTGCAAATGCATTTTCCTTAGTTGTATGAGCAGAATTTTTACCAAATTAAGAAAATGGCTAGGGACATCCGAAATGGGAAACTGCCCATGCAGAGATGCCAGGGCATAAACGAGCATATCCTGATGCCATGTGAGACTGAGTCCTAGGGAGAAGGAGAAGCTGCAGAGCCTCTGGTGCCAGCTGTGGAGCTAGGGCTTCAACCCTAGGACACTGTGAAGGCACTGTGGGGAGGGTAAGACACAGGCACGTTTTGGGAGAAAGCTGTTCTGGCACTTCTCTCAAAGTGTTGGCCCGTGCTTGCTCCAAAGGTGATAGTCCCGTTGCCTACCTGGAATGCACAGACCCGGGATCCTGTCACAGACAATGTGGAGAAGTTTGCCATCGAGACAGAGCTCATATACAAGTACTCTCCCTTTCGCAATGAGGAGGAAGTGATGGCCCAGTTCATGAAGATCCCTGGGGATAGCGGTGAGTACACCTCATGCTGTAGCCCCTCAGATCTGGGAGCACCAAAGCCGTGAGTGGTGAAGAGATGGGGCAGAGATGCTCGGCAGACAAAGGAGGGTTTCTGTTCCGCAGGAACACTGGTGATCATCTTCAATCTGAAACTCATGGATAATGGAGAACCAGAACTAGACATAATCTCAAATCCAAGGGATATCCAGATGGCAGAGACCTCTCCAGAGGGCACGTGAGTGTGGCTGGGAAGGGAGGGGGGCTTTGGCATTGGCTTCCATTCTCTCAGGAAGTGACTGCAGGGGAAGAGGAAGAGCTCATTGCCTGGATTTCTCTTGGTGGCAGTGTTGGAGTTGTTGGAGCTGGGAGCTCCTCATCTTCTTGTCACAAAGCAGAGGAATGAACAGAAGGACAACAGATTGTCAGCTAAGCTGAAAGAAAAGATTTATTATCCTCTGCACAACTCCTTGATTTGACAGAAGAGGAAACTGAGGCCTGGGAAGGGAGAAGAATTGCCCAGGGTTCCACAGTAGGGCAGTGGTAGGGCAGGTCAGGTATGAGAGGGCACCTGCTTTGGGGACATGTGAGAGGGCTGGGCGTGGAACCCATGCAGAAGGAGCACCCCGTCCAGGTGGCAAGAGAAGCCTAGATGTGAAGTGGAAAGGTATACGGCCTCAGTCAGGCTTGTCGTAATAGCACTTTGCTCTTGCTGCCTCCAGGAAGCCAGAGCGGCGCTCCTTCCGTGCCTACGCTGCTGTGCTCTATATTGATCCCCGGATGAGGATCTTCATCCACGGGCACAAAGTGCAGACCAAAAGGCTCTCCTGTTGCTTGTACAAGCCCAGGTAGGGGTCTGTCCATGCTGCTCCGCTGTTTCCACGGACCAAGATTGGGACCTGGCCTCGCTTCTCTGGGGCATTGTCAGAGGCTCTGACAGTGCTGACAGCACATGGGCCTTTTAAGCTGCCTGTAATTTACCAGAGTCACTTCTACGTCCCAAGGGAGGGGCAGAAGTGGCTGACAGGCTGGCTAACCTTACTGAGTACGAGTGCGTTTTCTGTCGTGGATTGTGCCCTGCCTGGCGTAGTAAGTTATTGTCTCCCGGCTGAGGGGCTGAGGGGCTGAGGGGCCGAGGGGCCGTTAGACACTCCACAGGAAAGCAAAGTTCCTGACTTATTACTGAGGTTTGTGCTCCCATGGGATTAATGACACCCCTGCTGAATAGCAAGGTTGCTTATCAATGACAGAGCAGGAGACCAGGGCAAGTGGAATAAGGAACTCTTTTGCTAAAATCTGCTTTAATCTGTCTCATCTGTGTGAGCAGGGTAGCGCTGCTTAGGACGAGGCAGGAAGGCGGGTGCTTCCTGAGTTGCCTGGTGATCACCTGTTCCCTCCCTATCCCCATACACCTTCACCCACTCAGGCCTTCAGGTTGTTCTTTCTGTTGTTCAGGATGTACAAGTACACATCAAGCCGGTTCAAGACCCGTGCGGAGCAGGAGGTGAAGAAAGCAGAACACGTAGCACGGATTGGTAATGCTTCTGTGCCCCCCTGCCTCCCAGTACAGAAAGAAGCCATGGGGTGGGCAAAATCTGGGGGACACTGCTTGTGGCCACAGCAAGGATCCAGGAGAAGGCTCCATCCACCATCCAGGGACTAGGCCATTCTGAACCACAATCTAGTTTCTTTCCAGCCTCTTCTCTCCATTAGCACTTTTTCTTTCCCTTAGCACTTTTTCTCTCAAACTCTTTCTGTTCAGCCATATGTAGGACTTATCTGAAAGTGTCAGCTCTTTGAGTGGCTCAGAGTAAAGAATTCCATGCTGTCCTTGGGCCCAAATACTTGTAAAATGGGTTTTCCTGACTCAAGGGCAAAAATCTCAAGGCCTCATGCTGATTAGGGCTTCTTGGTATCTCTTGGCTGTTTGATGGCAAGTTATAGGCTAAGGAGTTCTTTTGTTCTCAGCTCATGCTCAGACTTTAACTCTGGTTGTTTTGAGTATTTTTGACCTATTCTCATTCATCTGTAAAGTTTGAAAAGCATCTCCCTGGTATAAATAGTGCCTTCTTGATGGTTTTTCTTCTTCTTTATTCACAGTGGAGTGTACATGTGTGTGAGAGAGACAGACACAAACCAATACCCTTCCCAGGGTCTGGTCATGCCATGATCCATTTTCCTCTAGTCCTCCAGCTTGCTGGATCTCAGACACTCATGTGTGTGCATACTATATTTCATGTTGACTAGGCCAGGTATTCAGACTGTGATGAATGTGGGATTTGGCTTCTCAAATAGTGCATTACTGTTGCACCATAGAGTCTACCCCTTCTAGATATTTTTGAATGCCAGATTTCCCCACCTGAACCCACCCTGCAGTCTAGGCATGGAGGCTGCAACTGCATTGCTCACCAGCCATAGCCCTCCCAGTTCTTGTCCTTGATGATATCATGCTGCTTGTCCACCAAGGACTGCAGTGTGGATTCAGGAAGTATGATAGAAAGTTTAGAACCTTTGAGTTATCATGGTTTCTTCTGGGTTTCAGCTGAAGAGAAGGCACGGGAGGCAGAGAGCAAAGCACGGACACTGGAAGTACGTCTAGGCGGAGACCTCACGCGTGATTCTAGGGTAAGGCCCAGAGCCCAGGTGTCTCCAGCATTTCTGGCATTAGGAGGCCATGTCATATGAGTCTGCTTAAGTGCTCTAGTGCACTACTTTGATTTTGTCCCTGGCAAGGGCCATTTTCTGTAGAAGTAAATCTCCAGTTGTGGTTTTGCATCCATGTGAGTTCATGAGAAGCTTTAGATGTAATATAATATTACCTGGTGCCGATGTATGTGTCCAGGTGATGTTGCGACAGGTCCAGAACACAGCCATTACCCTACGCAGAGAAGCTGATGTCAAGAAGAGGATCAAGGAGGCCAAGCAGCGGTGAGTGCCAGGGCTGTCCCTCAGTTTTACACATCTGTGTAGCCTTTGTACTGACTATTGACAACTGAAGAGGAAGATTTGTGTGGTTGCCATCTTGTCACCTGGACTGCTTTTAGAAAGCCATTAATGTTGTGATCCCAGATGCTTGTCAAATGCCCACTGCAGGAGAGAGGAGGGAGGTCTTACCTTGAACTCTCAGTTCCTTTCAGTGTAAGGAAAAGGCTTAGCAGAGCCAATACCTCAAATTGAACACCAAATTGTCCTCTCTGGCAGTATCTCACTGTTTAATTAATTAATTAATTTTCATTTAAAGGATTTACAAAATTCTCCATGTATAACACTTACATTTAAGAAATAAAAATTTAGGGGCTGGCCGGTGGCATGGTGGTTAAGGTGGCTGGACTCCCACATGGCTGACTGTGGTTTGAGTCCCGGACCTGGCAGCTTGCTTTCTCATATTCCTTCTCTTTCTCTGTCTCTCTCTGGTCAACTTCAAAAAAAAAAGAAAAGACAATAGATAAAATAATTTTTTAAAAAAATCAGCCTTTAGGAAAAAAGAAAAATTGAAAAACTCTCTTACATATCTCCTAACCTGGTAATATCTGTCCTGAATATTTTTTTAAAGGAATATTTATTTATTTATTTATTTATTATTTGCTATAAGGCAAGTGTGCTCAGCAGAGACAGACAGAGGGAAAGTGAGAAAGTAAGCTGCTAGATCCAGGACTTGAAACATGGTCGGCCATGTGGGAGTCCTGTGCCCTAAGCACCATGCCACCTGCTGACCCTGTCCTGAATTTTTTATATTACATATTTGTATATATTTTTCATGTTCATTCTACTCTTACTGGTTACAAATGTGGAATAAAGTTGATTTAGTCTTGTGTACTTTTTTATTAGAATGATCTGTTCTGGGTAATTATCTCCTTGTCCTATCTCCATGTCCAGAGCTTCTCTGGACCTGAGACTTGAATTACTGCTTAGCTTCTTGTTGGCCTCCTTGTCCCAAGTGTAGGTTTCAAGTTCCTTCTGTCCAATGCTAATCTATCAGCATTTCAGATTTTATTCACGTTAATGGCCCCTTCTTTCACATAATCATTGTTCTTGTAAAATTTTGCCTTTAAAAAAAAAATTGACGTTTTAGTGCTGTTTTGGGGAAGGTATGGAGGTAACCTTGTATTTCTCCCACTACATAACTATTATTTAAATCCATCTCTGTCTAGTTTCCAAATAGCCAAAGTCGTATGCTTTTAATTAGGGAGGCCTACAGTTGGTGTGCAGGTTGTATCCATATGAAATCTGTCAGAGGTCACATGTAAAAATTAGAAAACCTTTTGTTTAATGTCTCAAGTTCATCACATCTTACATACCATGATGTTTGTGTGCTATGCTAACAGGTAGAGCTGCTTGATTTTTTTTTTTTTTTTGGTCTGTCTTCCCAGAGCACTTAAAGTACCTAAGGAACTAAATTTCGTTTTTGGGGTTAACATTGAACACCGGGACCTGGATGGTATGTTCATCTACAATTGTAGCCGCCTGATCAAGATGTATGAGAAAGTGGGCCCACAGCTAGAAGGGGGCATGTAAGTACCACCCCACGCAAGCTTTCCACTGGAGGTGATGAGAGGGTTTTGGCCGGTGGGGTGCCAGAATTGTATCCTCTTTCTCCCTGCAGGGCATGTGGTGGAGTTGTTGGGGTTGTTGATGTACCCTATCTGGTCCTGGAGCCTACACACAATAAACAGGACTTTGCTGATGCCAAGGAGTACCGGCACCTGCTGCGGGCAATGGGAGAGCACCTGGCACAGTACTGGAAGGACATCGCCATTGGTAATGGGGCTGGGCCCCCAGCCTTGCCCTTTTTCTTTACCCAGATTTAGGAAATGTAATGTAATGTGTTGGTGCTTACCTTCCAGCCCAGCGGGGAATCATCAAGTTCTGGGATGAGTTTGGCTACCTCTCTGCTAACTGGAACCAGCCCCCATCCAGCGAGCTGCGCTATAAACGCCGGAGGGCTATGGAAATCCCTACCACCATTCAGTGTGGTGAGTCAGGTGGTTGGACCCCTCCCCTATCTTTTTCCACTCTAGTCCCTCACCCTTCACCCCTCTTATCTCTATCCCTGAGCTGGCCTTCTGACTTGACATTTGTGGACTTAAGGTCCCACTAGGGATGTGAGCCTGATTGGTGATGGCCCTGCAAGTTCAGTCTTGAGGTTGTGCCAAGTTTCATCTGTCCTTCCTGAATGAGGCAAAAGGTCATCTTAACCTCCTAGGCCTCACAAGCTGCAGCTGGACCAGGCCTCACTGCCTCACTGCCTCCGTCAGTTTAGTACCATGTTATTTTTGGTTTAGTTTTCTTAAGAATTATTCAATTTATTTATTTCACATGAATTTTGCCAGAGAAAGACAGAGGGGCAGTTAGAAAGCAAACCGCGAGGTTCAGGATTCGAACCACTGTAGCCTATGTGGGAGTTCCAGCACCTTAACCACCATGCCACCTGCTGGCCCCAAGGTACCACATTGTTTCTAGTGTGAGTGGATGAGGGAGCCAGGATACTGCTGGAGGAGGGAGAGGGGCTGGGGGCATTAAGAGTTCATGATGTCGTTCCCATCCTTGCTGGAATCACAGTCCCAGAGAATTAGTGTTATGTGTGACAGGCAGAATTGAAGCCAGAGTGGAGATCTTTGCATGGAATATCTGAAGCATCTCTGCCTTGGGCTTGACTGTCAGGAGCCTGGATTATAGATACTGTTGGGTGTGGCTGATGTTGATGTGGGTGTTTTCTGTGTCTCAGATTTGTGTCTGAAGTGGAGGACCCTCCCCTTCCAACTGAGTTCTGTGGAAAAAGATTACCCTGACACTTGGGTTTGCTCCATGAACCCTGATCCTGAGCAGGACCGGTGAGCACTTTCCCTGACAAAGAGACTGGGTACTTCTCTTCCATATCCACTCTTCTCTCTACTCTTAGGACAATTAACTGCTCTACTTGAGACCAGTGCATATAGCCTTCATTTCTGTCTTGATGCATATAGTAAGTGCCCAAGAGATAAGAATAGATGTCTCTTCTGCACCACATAGTAGTTTCATGAATAGGGGGCTCGGAGATGATTGCTCTTAGAGAGACAGCAGAGGTTGACTTACTCTGAGGAAGGTCTCTGCCCTGCTTAGATTGCTATTTTGCCACAGTTTCCCTAGTATCTTCTCTCTCCAGGTGTGAGGCTTCTGAACAGAAGCAGAAGGTTCCCCTGGGAACTTTCAGAAAAGACCTGAAGACACAGGAAGAGAAGCAGAAGCAGCTGACAGAGAAAATTCGTCAGCAGCAGGAGAAACTGGAGGCTCTTCAGGTGCTGGCTCCCTGTCTCCTAGGCTCATTATCACCCTCAGTCATTTACGTATGCTTGCCAACGCTTTCTATCCCTGCTGTCCTGATCTAAGCACACTTGTTTTTCAAGTGTGCCTTAACCTTTCAAAAAAAAAAAACAAAAAATGTATTTCAAAGTGATCCATTTCATTTCATTTAAAATGTATAAAAATAAGTATATATAAAATATATACATAGCATTTCTTTAGTGTGTAATTTTTGTCTTCATCACTTTCTAAGGTGTGAAAGAGTTGAGTTGGCAGGTGGCATAGTGGTTAAGGTGCTGGTCTCCCACATAGGCTCCCGTGGTTTGAGTCCTGGGGGTATGGCCATGCTGCGATCCCTTCTTCATTCTCTTTAGATTTTGAGCATGCACTCACCTGTGCGTAGTGTGAGTTTCAAGCCTCCAGGTCCAGAACTCGAACTGCCGTCAGCCATGTGGGAGTCCAGCAACATAACCATTATGCCATATTCTGGTCTCACATCTTATAATTTTCATTTCTTTCATATTTCTGAGATTAGACAATTTTTCCTGTTACCATTGTTTTCAATAGTTGCTTATTCTTCACTTACACTTCTATTTTTCTTCTTTGACTGGTCTGGTTTTTCATACATATGTTTGTAATATCAGTCCTTTATCATTTTTTGGGGGGGAGAGGTTTTTTGCTACAGGGCACGTGTGCTCGCCAGAGAGACAGACAGAAAGCAAGAAATCATTCCCCAGGGAGGATGGCCACGCTGCAATCCCTTTTCCTCCATTCTCTTCTCGGGATCTTGGGCACGCAAGCACACGCGCCTGGTGTGAGTCCACGCCACCCGGTCCAAGACTCAAACCGCGGTCAACCACATGGGAGTCCAGTGACATAGCCATTACACCAACTGCTGATCCCCTTTATCATTTTTTACTACACAAGCACTTACCTTTCTGGCTTCTGAGTCTATGCAGATGTCCTCTCACTAACCCGTAATGTTCTGTGTGTGCTTCCTTGTCTGTTGAATTCCACCTATTCTTTTTGGCCTTGGAAATTTTCCCATCCATAAGGCCTTGCTTTTATTCAGTTCCATTTATAGGAGTTTATTAGCCCATTCACATTTTTTCTCAGTCTCCGGTTGCTGGATTAATCATGTAGTATCCTGTAATTTGTTGGTAGTTTACTGTTAGGTACTTTTTGCTTCTCCAGTGAGAATGGAAAGCTTAAGAATAGAACCCTGTCCCAAGTTTTCTTTTTTATTTGTCCACTGTCCCAGATGCATTGTGGGGATCCAAAAAGTATTTGTTTGAATGTAGCAAGTATGCATATAGCATCATCACCATGTTTGCCCTGCAGAAAACCACCCCCATCCGCTCCCAGGCTGACCTGAAGAAATTGCCCTTGAAAAACCACCCCCATCCGCTCCCAGGCTGACCTGAAAAAATGACCCTTGGAAGTGACCACCAGGCCTGCCACTGAGGTAAAGACCTGGGACTTGGGAGGGGATTTTCCCTAGGTGTTGCATGTTAAGATCAGTGTTCTCACTTTTCCTGGGCCTTTCTTAGGAACCCGCACGCAGACCTCAGCGCCCTCGTTCTCCCCCTTTACCTGCTGTGATCAAGAATGCCCCGAGCAGACCTCCTTCTCTACAGACTTCCAGACCAGCCAGCCAGACCCGAAAGGCTCCTGTCATCAGCAGTACCCCAAAGCCTCCTGTTCTAGCAGTCCGGGAGGAGGCCAGTACATCAAGGTTGCTCCAGCCCCCTGAAGCACCCCGAAGGCCTGTGAACACTTCAGTTAAGACTGCTCCTCGGCCCACCCCTGTGGTGCAGCCACTGTCATCGTCTGTACTGCCCAACTCAAAGAGCCCTCGGGAGGCACCTGCCCCCAAAGCCATTAAGACTCCAGTGGTCAAGAAGACAGAGCCACCAGTTAAACTCTCCCCGGTGAGGACCCCCAGGGGCTTCTTCCCTTGCCAGCTCCAGCCCATTATTAGAGGTGGAAGAGTAGAATCAAGGGGTTGCAAAGCTATACTGGAGGAGTGTCAGGAAGATCAACAGATCTAAAGCTTTTCTGCTGCCTATGAGGAGGGAGAGCCTAGTTAGGTGGAGGGGCACAGAGCAAGTCAGTTCTCTTGGGAGCTCTTTACTGTTCCTTTTGAGAAAGGTCTACCACAGACTTGAGTCATCTCCAGTATGGGTGTACATCGGTGGCTTGGTAACAGACAACTGTAGTCTGCATGTCTCAGGGAGGTCATAGCTGGCCAGACAGGTGGGCTAAGTGAGGAGTGAACTGAAGGCTTTCCCCCGTGACCCCTTTGAGCAAGATACTCATGTTAGCTAGCAGTTGAGGGAAGGATAGGCCCCTCTCTGAACAGCTCCTTTAGGACGGAAATTTTTTTTTCTTTTTTTTAGAGTTTTTCGCTCTAGGGTGTGTGTGCTTACCAGAAAGACAGAGACAGACAGAGAGATAGAAAGTGAGAAATCACCCTGCCAGGGGTGTTGGCCACACTGCAATCCCTTCTCCTCCATTCTTCTCTTAGGATCTTGGGCACGCATGCACACGCACCTGGCCTGAGTTTAAGCCACCGGGTCCGGGACTCAAACTGCGGTCAACTACATGGGAGTTCAGCGACATAGCCATTATGCCAACTGCTGGTCCCAGGACAGAAGAAATCTTCCTGCTCCTCAAGTGTTGAACAAGGGGCCTCATGTTTCCATTCTCCTCTTGCTGTAGGCTACTCCTGGCCGGAAGCGGAGTTTCGGAGTCTCTGATGAGGAAGAAGCCGAGGAAGAGGCAGAGAGGAAGAAGGAAAGGAGCAAACGGGGCAAATTTGCTGTGAAGGAGGAAAAGAAGGACTCAAATGAGGTAGGTGATCCAGGTGAGGTCCTCAGAACCTCCTTCCCCAGGTCCTTCCTCAACCCCCCCGTCCCCCACCTGCATTCTGCACAAGCTCTGTTCATGATATAAGCCTTCCAGAGCCTCGCTGATCTCTCCAGGACTCAATCACACAAGTGACTAGAAACTCAGTGCCAGACAGGATCTTCGGTGAGGCTGGCTTTGGGTCTAATGACAGCCTGAAGTGCAACTGATGTACGTCAGGGGGCTCCAAAAACTTTGCTTCCCTGTGTCAGATATCCTGCTGTCACCTGTTGTTGTGTTTATAAAGGTGGTGGCAGGATAGATACCTAGGACAGTGATTTTAGAGGGTGGCTCTCAGCAAAGCGTGGTGATTTAAACTGTAGCATAAGAAGACATTAAAGTGATAGCTGAAGATGTTGTGACCAGTAATAACGACTGTTATTACAGACAGTAATAACAGTCTGTTATTAACAGACAGTAATACTGACTGTTCCCCTTGCAGCTCTCAGATAGTGCTGGGGAAGAGGATCCAACTGACCTCAAGAAGGCTCAAAAAGGTGAGTTAGAGAGAGGTACCTGGCAGCTTGTGGTGGGAGTAGAGCCCCTCCCCAACAGCAGCTCAGTTCTGAAGGCTTGTGGAGTATTTCCTGCGCCTGGGCTCTCATGCAACAGTGGGTCCAAGTTCAATCCCAAGCAGAATTCTGAGACAGCACCCACCTTATGGTTAGTTTTCACACTGTTTCTTGGGGTTACTCCTGGCAGTCACTCTTCCTGTTCTTTGGCACCCTTGTCACAGATGGCGGAGGATACCAGGGTGGCTGGGCTTCCTGTCCTTTGTATAGGGGTCAAGTACCCTGGAGTTCCTGTCCTCCAAATCCGGGAGACAACCTGTATGAAGCTGGGGACTCCATTCTAGTTTTATGACTTGTACATCCATCTAAATTCTTAGATAAAGGCCTGCACGTGGAGGTACGTGTGAACAGGGAGTGGTACACGGGTCGTGTCACGGCTGTGGAGGTGGGCAAGCATGTGGTGCGATGGAAGGTGAAATTTGACTACGTGCCCACAGACACGACACCACGAGACCGCTGGTAATGTGCCCTTCTGGGGTGTTGGGATGACAACTCTTAGCTGTTGGGAGGCAGGGAAACCATGATTCCTGGGTGGAGGTATCTCCAGCCCCCCTGCCAGCAGCCCATCATGGGAACCTAGGACAGACATGACACAAGCTCTGTGTCCTCCATAGGGTGGAGAAAGGCAGCGAGGATGTGCGGTTGATGAAGCCACCTTCTCCGGAGTATCAGAGCCCTGACACACAGCAAGAGGGTGGGGAGGAAGCAGAAGCCGTGGTGGCCCCTCCGGACATAGCCGTGGCAGAGCCCTCCACATCTGACTGCATCCGCATCGAGCCTGACACCACTGCCCCGAACACCAACCATGAGACCATTGACCTGCTCGTCCAGATCCTCCGGTACATGGGCTTTTTGTCTTCCCACTCCAGGGCGAGACCCGGCTGTTACTCTCCACCCACTCCATGCCATTCTGAATTCCTGTCCCCACCTTCTTTGTTTAGGAATTGTTTACGGTACTTCTTGCCTCCAAGTTTCCCTATCTCCAAGAAGGAGCTGAGTGCTATGAATTCAGATGAACTAATATCCTTTCCTCTGGTGAGTCTGACCTAACCTTTGATTTTCCATTCTCCATCCCCCACATTCACACCTGTGCTTGTTGTGGTTGCTAGCTTGAGCTGCATGCCTTGCTTCAACCAGCCGCCATTTTCTCCTTCTGAAAGAATGGAGAAGGAGACTTTATGTCGGAGAAAAAGTGGCTTAGCTGGATATGACTCTGGTGTGCAGAAAGCCAGCCCACTCTACCTTAGGTCTAGAAACAGTCCTCCTGGAACAGCAGGACTGGTGTGACATCATATGACAAATAATATCCTTTTTTCTCTTCCCTAGCAAAGGGAGGAATCTTGCAACAATGAAGAGCTTAGGTCCCAAGTATCTAAAACTTGACTTAGCCATGGTAGTACATGTTGTTGCTTGGCAGGCTGAGGCCACATGGGAGGCCAGGTTTGGATTCCAGCCCACCCTAAAAGCTGGCTAGGACACACTCATGCCGGTGTCCTAGCCATATAGAAGGCTGAGGCTGGAGGATCGAGACAGAGCAAGATCCTATCTGAAATACCAACACACACACAGTACCAAAAACTTGACTACCAGGGAGGTACAGAGAGGCTCATGACTGGTGGATATAAGCACTGGGTTTTATTTCACCTAGCAAATGGTATGTCGCCTCCCTCAGTAGGCTCTCTGCTGGCTTTCACAGTGAGCAGCAAAAGAGAGTCCTGCCTCCAAGTGGCTTAGGATTCAGTGGAGACTGAGGTGTTAGTAGGTGGCTGGACACGAGGCTGAATAGTGAGTGCTGTAGAGTGGATGGGTGGGTGGTGGCAGCTTGGGGGAGGGAGGAGTGACACAGTCTGAAGAACACATCAGTTTTGTTGTGTAAGGGAAGGGCAGTGTCTGAGGTAGGGCCTTTGGTGAGCAAAGGCTCAGGGATGGAAGGGCAGAGGTCAGGGCAGCAGGCAGTGGGTGAGCATTTAAGTAGAAGGGACCCGAGAGCCAGGATGTATGGTACATATTGAATGCCCTAAGTAATTATTGGCTTAGACTCTGAAATGGAGGGCTAGCAAAAGTTTTCAACTGAAGGAATCGTCAGTCTGAACCATGTCTTCTTTGTCTGTAGAGGGCAGTTAGCAAATCATTTCAGGTTTGTGGGCTGTGCAGTCAGTCTCTGTGGCACCTACTTCACTCTGCCATTAGAGGACGAAAGCATTATAGCAGCCATAGACAATTCAGAAAGGATGAGCGTGGCCAGGTTCCAATAACATGTTATTTAAAGAGCAGGTGGCAGGCTGATTTGGTCCTGGGGCTATAATCTGCCAACTCTGCTGCCAGGAGGGTAGCTGGTAGCCACGCGTTTAGATGAGATGGCTGGATAGGAGCTGGAGATGGCAAGGGTAAGTGGGTGGGCCATTGTACAATGTGAGAGGCAAGGGAGGGGAATGAGAGCCAAAGTGGTGGGAGAGGACTAGTGTGTGAAGGGGCCATGTCAGAGGTCATCCACAGGTCTTTAAATACAGGCAAGTGATGGGGAGTAGGCAGAGGGCACATGCTTCCCTGTGTCACAGCCTGTGGGGAACTTTCTAATGGCAAAGTTGTTAACTAGGGAAAAAACAACAGGGAGTGTGTGGAAGGTGATGAGTTGAGGCTTGTGCTGTGCTAAAAGAGTAAGCACTGTGTTTCTGAAAAGGACAGTGGTCGAATGGAGAACAGGGACTAGCACTGGGCGCAGGAGGCAGCAGGGTAGAGATGAGATCTGGGAGTCTTCCACATCGAGTAGGATATGTTTGTGGTAGTGATAGCTAAGTTCTCCAAGAGTTTCCAGAGAAAAAGGGACTATTGTAGAAACTATAGGATACGTTTGCTCAAGATAGTGTGCCCTCAGGTAGAAGCTATGTGCTTGATGAAGTTTGCCCCAAGAGAAAAACATGGGCTTTTAGCTTCATTCTTTAAAAAGAAATGAAATGAGGCTGGGAGTTGGAGAAACTGAAGCTCAGAGAGGTGAAGTGTCTGTCGGTCTGAGAAAGAGTCCAGATATAAGCCTCGATATTCTCAGGACTGGATCTTGCTTTTCTTACGAAGAAGAGCCTTGCTGTCTGTGAGACTATGGGGTGGCACTCAGTGAGGAAGCTTGAAGGTGCCAGAACTGATCATGGCTTCCCTGCAGAAGGCTCCACTCTTCAACTTCTGTCCTTGTTTAGGCTGCAGGAGCTCCCTGCAAATCCCAGGGGGAACACACAGCTGATAGGATGGCTAGGTATGCTTGACATCTTCTTGTCAGTCAGATTTGTTGCTTTTGGCTTGAAATTGTTGCCAGACTCAAAGCATAGTCTGGGTACAGTGGGATCTCTGCAGTGAGCCTGACTTCTCTGCCCAAAACAGTCAGTGTGCACATCTGAGACTAAAAATATTAGCTTATTTTTGTGAAAGGAGGTATAATACAAGGGTATCAACGTTGTCCTCCAGATCGTAATGTCTTAAAACACTCAGTTTTTTAGCGTCAGGGACTCAACAGAGTCTACTGTTCATTGTGTCCTTGTCAGTTTATAAATGAGCAGTCTTTTTCCCATCTTGCAGGACCCAGGAATTACATAAAGTTTTAGGGGCCCTTCAAATATTAAGTTTGAATATCATTTTTCTTTTTTAAAAAAATAACTATTTTATTTATTTATTTGAATTTGTTCAGAGAGGGACAGAGTGAAAAAGGGTTTGGAAAGTGAGAAAGCAAGCTCAGGTCCAGGACTTGATCCGCTGTCAGCCATGTGGGAGTACAGTGCCCTTAATCACCACACCACCTGCTGGCCCTCAAATATCATTTTTAAAAGATGAATGTAACAACTGTGTCTAAATTTACAATTTCCTCAAAATAAAAAGTTTAAAAAATATAAACTATGATTGCCCCCAAGATGTTGTTTACTGAATTTTAATACTTTGGAGCCTCCTTGAACATTTACTTTGTGTGACCAAAAGTAATTATTCTTTTTCACAAAATGTGAAGTTTCATTTGCCATCCTGGTTTTATAGGGCAATATTCTAGAGTGCAAATTGAATGACACAGTTAAGTACTTGCCAGTAACAGCTTTTATAAATATTATAGCAATCAAAACTCTCCCAGTATAGCTCATGTATCTCTCTCTCTCTCTCTTTTTTTTTTTTTTTAAATTGCCAGAGAGTACATGTGCTCATTGGAGTCAGACAAAGATGGAGAACATACCCCCTATGGGGTGTGGTAGCACCACAATCCCTTTTCCTCCACCTCTCCATCCATCTGGGATTTCAGGCATGCATGCATACATGCCCAATGTATTTTTCAAGCCACCAGGGCTGGTATAGGAACAACAGTTGGCCATGTGGGATCTGGCTCCCTTAAGCACTAGGCCTCGGGGCCAGCTGTCCTCATGCATCTTTGTAGAGTTGGTTAAAACTATTATAGAGGCCAGCCAGGACCTGCTGGGTGTAGATTTCTATTCATCCAAATAGCCTCGTCACTTTCATTGGTGACTTAGGAGTAGATCATATTATAAACTTAGAAAATAATTTTAGCTTTTTAACTTAAATTGTTTATTACATTGAGATTCCATGTAACATTTCAGTTGAAACAAGTATTTGGCTAGCTTTTAAAAGTTTGAAAAGCCACATGCCTAGAAAAACTGCTAGTTAATGTTACTCCTCCACACCTTGGAGGTTTCAGGTACCCAGAGAAGGTAACATAGAGCTCTGATGCTACAGAAATACACAAGGAGTCTTCAGAACACTCATGAAAAGTGTATATTACAAAAAAAACTATTCATAAATTTAAAATTTTTGTTTTGCACTAAAATAAATTTACACTTTAATTCCATTTTTCACAAACTTTTTAAAGTCCCTTGTATATGCACAACTCTGGAGGTGTCTGCTATTGGTCAGTGCATGATAAACATTTGTGGAAAAGAACTGACCCAGTGCTAATACTGGTGGTTATGACTTGGTAATTGATTGTCAAATGGCATGGGGAGCTATGTGAGCTTGAAGAGTGATGCTGTTGTCCTTTTCTGCCACCTGGAATGCTAAGGGGCCCCCAACATTTACTCATGGCTTGTGTCTGCCAAAGCACCTGATTGTGTGCTTTACCTGTGAGAGCTCATCTTTGTCCACCTGGTAGCCCCACAAGGTGGGCATTAAGGTCTTTCTACTCTGGACTTGGAAAGACCACTTGCCCTTAGAACTGAGTCATTCTTTTCATGGAGCTGGTTGGGGATACCCATGTCTGGAACAGCCCAGGGGAATGCTCATGCTTACCCTCTGCTTCCCTCCAACAGAAAGAGTACTTCAAGCAGTACGAAGTGGGGCTCCAAAATCTGTGCCATTCCTATCAGAGCCGTGCCGACTCACGGGCCAAGGCCTCTGAGGAGAGCCTGCGCACCTCTGAGCGGAAGCTTCGTGAGACAGAGGAGAAGCTGCAGAAGCTGAGGACCAACATCGTGGCACTCCTGCAAAAGGTGCAGGAGGTGAGCCAGGCAGCCCTCTCAGTGTAGCTGGACACCTGGGCTCTTGGGGTGGGGGGCTGGGCACCTCAGCTCCCTTCTCACAGGAATCTATCCACTCACAGGAATCTGTGTTCCAATCCTGGCTGCACAGCATCCCGACCAGGAGGGCTTGAGGTCGTGCAGCTCCCTGGGCCTTGGCCCAGCCAGACCCACAGAACCAGACTTTCCCCTTTAGACATTCCGGTGTACAATCTGGTTTGAGTTCCTGCTTTTCCAGATGATACCCAGATGGGATTGGGTAGCCCAGGAGTGGGGAGTGCTCCCTAGGGTGTCGGTCCTTCATCCAGGCAGCAGACACTGAGGGCCTGCTCTGCCTGTCCTGTAGATTCGGGGTGAACAGGCCAGGCCAGACAAGGTCCCTGCTGTCACAGCCCGACAGGCTGGTGGAGGAGACAGAATGACTGCTGGTGGGAAGTACTACAAAGTAAATAAGAGGAATAGATAATGGGGGGAGGCCACCTTACTGGGTGTTCAGGGGCGATTTTGGGCTGAGACTGGCAGCTGTTCGTGCAGGACAGGAACATTACAAGTTGAGAGAGAAGAGCAGACTTGGCCCAAGTGGGGAGTTGTGGGCAGGAGGCAGAGGCAGAGCCTGGACAAGGTGGGATCTGATGCTCATTTAAGTGTGACCATCCAGACACTTACTGTGGGGGTGGGAGGAGGCCTGGAGGGGGTGGAATTTAGAAGCAAAATCACTGTGAACAGGTTCTCTTACCAGGTCTGGTAAGAGGGAATGTGGCATGAACCTAGGATCATGAGAGCAAGACAGGAAGGAAGTGGGCACATTTGAAGGAGCTGAGGAAAACCTACATCTAAGGCAGCTGAGAACGTGGAGTAGAGGGCAGGGCAGGAGCTAGAACTCAGGGATGTCATCTGTAACAGGGCTGGGGAGGAGAAAGTGATCAAGATGGGGCCAGAAATTTTGACACCAGGACCAGGGGTGGGGTGGACTTAGTTCCAGGAGCTGGGAGAGGGGTGAAGGGTGAGCTCTCCATCACCTTCCGTTCCCAGCTGACACCCACCCTGCTCTGTTCCAGGACATAGACATCAACACAGATGACGAGCTGGATGCCTACATTGAGGACCTCATCACCAAGGGGGACTGAGGGGCTGGGAGCTAGACATCAGCTCCCCTACCCACTGCCCTCAGCGCAGCAGCTTCCAGGGAGGGAGGGGGTTCATTCATGGGTTGGTGGACTTACCTTGTTGACTCACATGGGACATTTGTGCTTTTTGAGAGAAAGTTACTCTTGATTCTTAGAATTTTCCTCCCTAAGTTTATAAATATTTATTTTTTAAAGAAGATGCTGTGCCTGCTGTGAGACCATACATTTTTTTTTTTTTTTTTTAATGTGACTGTTGGGCAAAGGACAGAAAACCTTTCTGCTTTCACCACACGAGGTTGCCAAACCTGAGCCACTCCAGCTCCTGGCTCTTCAAGATGGTGCACCACCTGAGAGGGTCCTGGTGCAGTGCTGGTTTCTCTCCTAGATAATGAGCAATGTGGGTATCAGAGGGATGGGGAAGGGAGAAGACCCCCCAGCACATGCTTCCCCTAGGGGGAAGATCCAGGGGCCCTCTTAAGGGGCTGTGAAGACGAGGATGTTTAGCATTGGCAGGGCCTCTCCCTTTCAGCTGCCATCTCAGGTCAGGGATAGGAGTGTCTACAGTCAGCCCAAGCAGCTATCAGAATCATCTTGGCTGTGGCACTGTGCAGGTTTGAGAAGGAAGATCTCCCTTTTCAACCTCCCTGTTCACCACACAGGTTCTCTCTAAAGGAGTGGCTTCATTAACCTGGGACGCTGAGGTTCTTTGCCTGAATAATGTCCAGGTTGAGCAGCAGACATATCTGACTCTGGCCAGGACTCTGACATGGGCAGCACCTGAATGTTTGAACTTTGGATTCCTAGTGAAGAAGTTCTGTGTACCAGAGGCCCCCCTCTGCAGCTGTCTCAGTGGTGCTGCCCAAGCTGGAGAGCCTGATGCTGCCTTTTCTACTTCTTTCCCTCTACCTGGCCTCACAGAGCCAAGTCCCTGCTCTGGGGCAGACAGGAGGAGGCAATCAGCTAGCCCTTGCCACAGGTTCTGGAGGCAGCTTTGCAGGAAGCACACCATGTGTCGCCTCCCTGTCCAATCACAGCCCCAGAAGCTAGTTCCCTCAAGCAACTTCTCAGGGTCAAAGACGAAGAGTTGCTGTTTTCTCTTTAATGGACATTGGAAGAATTCTGGTTTGATTTCCCCAACCTCCTTCCCACTTCGATTTGGGGCCTCTGGGGTTTCTGAAGGCACAAGAACTATTATCATCTTGTATTACGATTTGTGATTCAAACCTCTTCGGGTGTTTTCCATGTGTACTCCACCCAAGTCAGTAGTGGGCAACCTACTGCTCTGTGCATCTGCAGATGGGGTCAGTGGCGAGGGATGTAGACCACACCCAAATTGGAAGTCTTTCCCCTCTGTGTATTGAAGAGCCCGTGAATGGTGGTCTTTGGGTTTCCCCAACCATATCCCTGGGGGAGAGCTTTTTGGGAGACTACTTACTACTCAGAGAGACCCTGGTTTCTTCCTCTGGAAGTCTCCAAGGGTCTTGGCATTTCTTGTGCTGGTGATTCCCCTCCCATCCAGCTTTTTCTGTTCATCCCAGGCAGCATGTGGTCCATTTTTCTCCCCAAACCTATTTTACTCTAAGAAGTTGGTTCTGCATTTTTACCAGAAGGCAATACTCAACGTTTTTTATTTACACACATGTAATCAAATTGCAATACTATAAACTACTACTGGTGACACACCTGAACTCAGTCTGTTTTCTTCTCAGTTGAAACCCAGCACCTTCCTCTTATTCTTTCATTCTGCCACTGTGGCTTTAAACTGTCTTCAGTGTCTTCCTCATCTCCATCATCTTCACTTTCCTTTGCACCTACAGACTTGAGAAGGAAATTTCTTACATGTTTTGGTTTCATCATCTGAATGTGCCTACTGAATGCAGCCTGTTTACCAGGCAGGGACCCTGCTGTTCTGGATGGGAGGACAAAATGCATGGGTTGCCCTCTCACCCTGCATCCCCACAACACACACAGCTTTCCTAGTAATGGCGCAGCACAGCTGACATTTTTTAAAAGTTTGCTGTGAGGGCGCAGCACAGCTGACATTTTTAAAAAGTTTCCTTTGAAGTGCTTGCACTTGCTAGAGAAAAGCAGAGAGAGGAAAAATCACCCCCTGGGGGGAATGACCACCCAGCAGTCCCTTCCCATTCTCTCAGTTTTTGGGGCATGCACATACACATGCCCAGCATGTTTTCCAAGATGTCAGGTCCAGGACTTGAGCCATGTATTTCAGCCAATCTTTGAATACTTGGGATGGATGGACTGGCTGATCTGTGGTGAGAAAGAAGGTCCTTAGTACAAGACTGCAAGAAACTGAGGGCAGCAATCTGATTTTGATAGAATGAGAGGGATGGGGACTTTTATTCAGCTTTATTCAGGGTGTGTGTTGTTACAATTTTTTTTTTTTTTTTTTTTTTTTTTACGTGATGTAAAAAATTCAAACAGTATAAAAGTATATTGACTATGAAAACCAATGATCTCCACCTCCATCCCAAATTCTTCCCCAGGAATATATCCATCCTGAGTGTGCACACACAGCCACTCTGTCCTGCCTGTATCTTGGAGCCTGTTTTAGAGTAGCCCATATGGATCTGCTTTATTCTTCTGAATGACCACGTAGCATCTCATTGTCCTGGATGTACTGTCATTTAATCATTTGGGTTGTCCCTAGCATTTATGAGTGCATGCCTATGTGTTTCTGTTTATTCTTTAATTTGGATCTCTATATAGGGTAAATTCCATAAAGGGTAATGGCTGAGTCAGACAGTGGGTGTATTCAAAATTCAGATATATTCCAGCACTGCCTTCCAGAGAAGACTGTCCCAGCTTCCACTCCTACCAACGATGTATTTTCCCCTAACACTTGCCAGTATGTAGTCACTTCTATTTTAACTACTTACTAATCTGAAAGGTGAAAATTGATGGCTTTTCCAGTCAGTTTGAATTAATTTAATTGTGAGATTGTCATTGGCCAGTTGTGTCTCCCTTCTATATAAAATTTTTGTTTGCTAAAGGCAAACCTAAGTTAGTAACAAGCTGAGAAGAACTTCTTGGATTCCTTCTCCATATTCTGCCTTAGAGGCTCCTCTCTTGTTACGTCCAATTTTTGTCTATGTGACTTTCAGACTTAGGGCCTAAGCAGTGTTGGCCAAGAGCTCACAGCTCTAAGGACCAAATAGTTCTTCAGCCCAATCAAGCTCCAAAGTGCTTTGTTTTTTACACAGAAACCAAGGCTTGCCTTGAGTCCCTCCACTGGCCGGCTATCCTTGGAAAGTCATTCTGCAGCTGAGTCAGGTTGTAAACAAACCACTCACGGTCACCAAAGTGCCTGAGACATCCTCACGGAATGCTACTGGAGTGTTCTGGCATTTGCTGGAGATGGAACTTCTACAGCTTCTTTTGAAACAGCCATACTGCTCTTAGTTCCCAGAGCAGATGGACAGCCAGCTTGGCCAGGGGACGCAGAGCTCCAAAGAACATGCCTTTTCTGCTGCCATGTCTAAGGCTTCAGATTGTCAGTTCCTGGCACAGCTTGGGGTTGAATGAGACAAACTGTGCAGGGGAAGGACCTAGCAAAACACTCCACTCAGCAATGAGCCAAAAAAATCACCAGACCTGTTATTCTGCCCGGCTATTTTCATCCAGTAACTTAGCAATGTGCCAGGCCCATCCAGGACTGCTGGTGGATCCAGCAGAAATTTCTTTACTTCTTCCAACGTGTAGGGCCTCCAGCAAGTAAGTCACTGTCCACACTGGCTTCCCATTCCTTCTCTACAATAAATGTGGTGGATGATGGTAGGAGTTTCCCAGCTTGTTGAGCCACAGGGCCAGCTCACCTGACATTTATCCATTAGCCCACAAAGGTGGTGATACTGCAGCTGTTCTGGTCGAAGGAGGGGGTAGGAGCCAGAGACCCTTACTACCTTGACCCCAGTCTGTTTCCAAGTCCTACCTGTTTGCTACCTGTAGGCCTTCAGCAGCTTCCTCAGCGCCCCATGCTGGGGTAACTAACGTGCTAGCCATCTTCACGGCCCTCTAGCCAGTTTCTGCACTGCAGGTGCTTCCAGGGTCCCCTGCATTCCCAGCAAAGGTCTGGAAGGTGGGGAGTTCATACCTGGACCAGTGAGGGATTGAGGGTCCCACAGACACACCCCTTCTTTCTTCCCTTTGTACTCTGCTAAGTGTTTCTGGGATTCTCTGGGGGCCCTTCCCGCCCTAGGAACCACAGGTTTCTTGGAAAGTTCCGGCCAGCCCTATCCCACTACTTGAGTTTACTGTCCCTCCTCTTCTTTTCTTTCTTGACTGAAAGCTCAGGACTCTCGTTCCCCGCCCCAATGTCCCAGCATCTAAACTCACTGTGCTGGGTTTGAAGTGCTGCGGGGGCCTGGGACGAGAACCCCGTTTTGTCATAAGGGGTGGCTTCTCTGAGTTCCTCAGACCTAATTCGTTGCCACGGCCCGACGCACGGCTGAGGCCTGGTGGGAAATTCACCTGGGCAGACGACTGAACCCTCCAGAGGCTTCTGGGCGGCTGTCACTACTACCTGGGCGCCGGCCTCACCCGCGCGCCGACCGTTGTTGCCGTGGGCGGAGAGCGCCCCCAGCCCGGGTCCAACCCAGACCTTCGCGGAGCCCCGCAGTTGCGCCTGCGCGGTGTTGCTGCGCCCGCACGTGCCGCTCCCATGCGCATGCTCTTTGGGAACAGCGCAAGGCTATCTAGGAGCTCAGGGCTAGGTGGAGTCTGAATCATGCACGGTCTCTACTTCCTGCGGTTCTGGCAAGGGCCAGCAAAGGAACCGCAACCGGGGAGGTGGGAATTTGCTTTTCTGACCCTTGCTTATTAAGTCGGAGTACAGATATCCCTTTCCTTTGCAACTTTTAAACTTTTGGGGGTCCCTATAAAAGTGGTGTGTGTGTGTGTGTGTGTGTGTGTGTGTGTGACAGGTGTCCTTCTGGCCGAGTGCGTTTATCTCTGCAGGGTAAAGGACTTGGAAAGGAAACCGCGTGTGTTCATTGGCCAGTAGGTCTCTCTGGGACCTGAAGCTGAACACTTGACGCCTTGGGATTCACAGCTTTGGCCCGTTTTCTACAGATTTGTTCTTGGCTTGGTTTAGGGTGTTCGTTGAAAAGTGAAGTTTTAGGTTTTTTATTTTTTCTTCTCTTGCTTAGGAAAATCTATCCACTTCTCTCTTCCCCCTGAACCCCCACAAATGTTCTCTTATATTTTGTTGAAATGTTCGCGTGTGTGAACCTCCAGTCTCTGTAGAGCATTTATTGGTATAAGTGGTAAGGCAGGACTCAAGTTCTAATTTCCCAGTAAAAATTAACTTACTAAATGAACCACCTCGGTTTTTATTTCTACTCCACTCTTACTTGGTTTGGACTTCTTGTGTTTGAGATGCCCCTTAAACTCTCCAGTGGAGACAGCCTGTCAGTTGCAGGGTGAGTCTGGTGTAAGGGGTAAGGTCCCAGCTGAAACTAATTTTGGGTATTGTAAGCCTCCAGATGGATCAGTTCCACTTTTTTTTGGGGGGGGGGTGGAAATACTTACTCACGCTATTCTCAGAATTTGTTCTCCCACATGAACTTTTCCATGAGAGAGACATCCAGATGGATATAGAGAGAAAGAGAGACAAGGAATCCCCTCTCCCCTCCCCCAGCAGGGTCTTGATGCCAAGATCATGAGAGTAAGCTTGAGCAATCTCTTTATTATGGCTTTTAAATGGCTTTGTATGGGATGGGACCAGCAGATGGCAAAATGGTTACATGGCTGGACTCCCGTGTAGTTGACCATAATTCGAGTCCCAGACCCAGGGCTGAAAACTCACACTGGGTGCATGTGTGTGCATGCCCAAAATCCCAAGAGGAGAATGAAGGAGAAGAGATTGTGGCGTGGCCATCCCCCATCATTTCTGTCTGTCTCCCTGGTGAGCACACATGTCCTGTGGCAAAAATCTCTCTTAAAAAAAAAAATCTTTGTACAATTCTCTCCCATCCCTGCCTTTAAAAAAAAAGTTCCATCGGGATTTAAATTATCACATTAAATGTAAGTTTGGAGAGCACTGAGATTTTTATGTTAAATCTCCCCAGATTATATGAAATCATTTTCCCACTTGTTCAAGTCTTCTTTTAGATCCTCTAAGATTTTGTAATTTTTCATACAGGTTCTGTAACTTTTTTAGGGGGGAGGTTTTTGCTATTGGGCGTGTGCGCTCACCAGTAAAACAGAGACAGAGAGACAGAAAGCAAGAAGTCACCTCCTGGGGGAGGTGGCCACACTGCAATCCTTTCTCCTCCATTCTCCTCTTGGGATCTTGGACGCGCACACATACGCGCCTGGCGTTGAGTTTAAGCCACCGGGTCCAAGACTCGAACCATGGTCAACTACATGGGAGCCCAGTGATGTAGCCATTATGCCATCTGCTGGTCCCCAGGTTTTGTCACTTTTGAGTAAGCTTATTCCTGTTTTATCACAATTGTGCCAGAATACTTTTTTCTACTTTTCTTGCTCACTGATTATTAATATGTAGAGAAGCTAATGTTGAATGTGTTATTTTCTGTCTTATGAACTCTGGTAGTTTAACAACTAAATGGCTTTATTTTTTATAGACATAAATTTGCCAATATTCCAATTCAGTTTTCCATTTTGTTTAGTTAGAGTTTTTGGAACAATGTTGAATAATTGCTCAGGTCTTGTTTCTGATGTAAATGGAAGCCCATTTGTGAAGGCTGAGCAAGATATTGGCTGTTGGTTTTAAGAAATGGCCTTTACTGTCCCTCAACACCGGTGTCCTTCCTGGCTAAAGAAGAAATGGATGGCCAATAAGTTGTTAATATCTTTGTTTTGCTTTAGTTCTGGAAGATACTTTGACTGGCAACACTAATGTTTTCTCCTTTTTGTACATAGACACTTCATTGCCTTCTGATGCCCTCTGGAAGTCACTTCTCAAGTCTAGTTGATGTTCTTTGAGGTAACCTTTATTTTTTCCTTCAATCTGATTGCTTTTAAATTTTGTCTCAGTGTTCCAGCAATTTCACTATATTGTAGTGTTGGATGTCTTTTATTTACTATGATTAAGATTTGTTGAGCTTGATTCTGAATATTGATGCTTTTCATGAGTTCTTGGAGATGTTTTAGTCATTAACTCTTTCAAGATTGCTCTGCTCCATTAAAACACATGGCAGCACATGTTTCTCCTTCTGACAAAATATGGGACCTTCTCACTTCATATCCTCCATGTCTCTTAACTTCTCCTTTATATTTTTTCTTATGTCTCCGTGCTATATTCTGAATTTCTTCAGTTCTCACTCCCACACATCACTAAAAGTCTCTTCAGCTATTGGGACCAGCAGTTAACATAACAGCTATGTCACTGGACTCCTACGTAGTCGACTGCGGTTTGAGTCCCGACCCGGTGGCTTAACCTCACACCGGGCATGTGTGCGTGCATGCCCAAGAGGACAGTGGAGGAGAAGGGACTGCGGTGTGGCCATCCCCCCTGGGGGGTGATTTCTCGCTTTCTGTCTCCCTGTCTCTGTCTGTCTGGCAAGCGCACATGCCCTATAGCAAAAGCTTCTCCAAAAAAAAAAAAAAGTCTCTTCAGCTATACACTCACTTTGTTATAAAAATTATTCACTGAGTTATTTTTAGTGACTTAAACAATTTTTTTCAGGTAGTTTTTTTTTTTTAAAGAATATTTAACCATATCGAAGCTAGTTGTCTGTTTCTAGAAACATACATTTCTATTTTCTGTATCTGATATTTCCATCTATATGGAGGAGTTTTGGGTCTGATTCTGTTATTTCTGGTGGCCTTTGCTCATGGGAGCTTATTTCCTTGTATGTTAAGAGATTTTTGTTTAATGAAAAAGAGAGGGAGAGAGAGAAAGGAAGGGAAGGAGGGGAAAAAAGGGAGGAAAGGAAAGAGAGAGAGAGAGATCCATAAACTTGCCTCAGCCTCCCAGTTAGCTAGGATTATAAGTGTGTGCTACTGGGCCCGGCCTGAGTTAGGTTGGTCAGAGAGCTGAACGTAGGCCTCCCAGGTGGCTTCAGCCTCAGACAGTAACACTCCACTCCCTGCACCAATGCTGCTGAGCCTGTTCAGAGATTTTATACTGTGAACTGTTCGTTGTCCTTACAACTTCGTATCTGGGGTTCAGAGAGGACTTGTTTGCTTCTCTCAGGTGACTGGGGATGTTGCCAGTTTAGTATGTTATATTCTCTGCTAGAAGTTTTATTAGATCTTCAAGTAGTATTCATTTGGGCTGCAAAACTGAGTGTCTCTTGGTTACAGATTCGTAGGGGACTGTTTTCTGTTCTGGACCAACCTTTACGTTTTATTTTATTTTGGATTCACCATTACTTTAAAGGTATAGCCCTCTGGAAGCTCAGATCTTGGGGGGGGGGGAGTACCTTATTAGACGTCTTGCTCTGGCCTTTTAATTAATTATTTATTTGTTTGTGTCATAGGATGTGTGTACTTGCCAGAGAGAGAGACAGAAAGAAGGTAAGTGAGAAATCATCCCCTACTCCCAGGGTGGATGGCTATGTTGCGATCCCTTCTCTATTCTCTTCTTGGGCTTTTAGGCAAGCACGCACATGCACATTGGAGTGATATTCAAGCTGCTGGGTCTGGGGTTTGAGGACCAGCAGATGGCAAAATGGTTACATGGCTGGACTCCCGTGTAGTTGACCATAATTCGAGTCCCAGACCCAGGGCTGAAAACTCACACTGGGTGCATGTGTGTGCATGCCCAAAATCCCAAGAGGAGAATGAAGGAGAAGAGATTGTGGCGTGGCCATCCCCCATCATTTCTGTCTGTCTCCCTGGTGAGCACACATGTCCTGTGGCAAAAATCTCTCTTAAAAAAAAAAATCTTTGTACAATTCTCTCCCATCCCTGCCTTTAAAAAAAAAGTTCCATCGGGATTTAAATTATCACATTAAATGTAAGTTTGGAGAGCACTGAGATTTTTATGTTAAATCTCCCCAGATTATATGAAATCATTTTCCCACTTGTTCAAGTCTTCTTTTAGATCCTCTAAGATTTTGTAATTTTTCATACAGGTTCTGTAACTTTTTTAGGGGGGAGGTTTTTGCTATTGGGCGTGTGCGCTCACCAGTAAAACAGAGACAGAGAGACAGAAAGCAAGAAGTCACCTCCTGGGGGAGGTGGCCACACTGCAATCCTTTCTCCTCCATTCTCCTCTTGGGATCTTGGACGCGCACACATACGCGCCTGGCGTTGAGTTTAAGCCACCGGGTCCAAGACTCGAACCATGGTCAACTACATGGGAGCCCAGTGATGTAGCCATTATGCCATCTGCTGGTCCCCAGGTTTTGTCACTTTTGAGTAAGCTTATTCCTGTTTTATCACAATTGTGCCAGAATACTTTTTTCTACTTTTCTTGCTCACTGATTATTAATATGTAGAGAAGCTAATGTTGAATGTGTTATTTTCTGTCTTATGAACTCTGGTAGTTTAACAACTAAATGGCTTTATTTTTTATAGACATAAATTTGCCAATATTCCAATTCAGTTTTCCATTTTGTTTAGTTAGAGTTTTTGGAACAATGTTGAATAATTGCTCAGGTCTTGTTTCTGATGTAAATGGAAGCCCATTTGTGAAGGCTGAGCAAGATATTGGCTGTTGGTTTTAAGAAATGGCCTTTACTGTCCCTCAACACCGGTGTCCTTCCTGGCTAAAGAAGAAATGGATGGCCAATAAGTTGTTAATATCTTTGTTTTGCTTTAGTTCTGGAAGATACTTTGACTGGCAACACTAATGTTTTCTCCTTTTTGTACATAGACACTTCATTGCCTTCTGATGCCCTCTGGAAGTCACTTCTCAAGTCTAGTTGATGTTCTTTGAGGTAACCTTTATTTTTTCCTTCAATCTGATTGCTTTTAAATTTTGTCTCAGTGTTCCAGCAATTTCACTATATTGTAGTGTTGGATGTCTTTTATTTACTATGATTAAGATTTGTTGAGCTTGATTCTGAATATTGATGCTTTTCATGAGTTCTTGGAGATGTTTTAGTCATTAACTCTTTCAAGATTGCTCTGCTCCATTAAAACACATGGCAGCACATGTTTCTCCTTCTGACAAAATATGGGACCTTCTCACTTCATATCCTCCATGTCTCTTAACTTCTCCTTTATATTTTTTCTTATGTCTCCGTGCTATATTCTGAATTTCTTCAGTTCTCACTCCCACACATCACTAAAAGTCTCTTCAGCTATTGGGACCAGCAGTTAACATAACAGCTATGTCACTGGACTCCTACGTAGTCGACTGCGGTTTGAGTCCCGACCCGGTGGCTTAACCTCACACCGGGCATGTGTGCGTGCATGCCCAAGAGGACAGTGGAGGAGAAGGGACTGCGGTGTGGCCATCCCCCCTGGGGGGTGATTTCTCGCTTTCTGTCTCCCTGTCTCTGTCTGTCTGGCAAGCGCACATGCCCTATAGCAAAAGCTTCTCCAAAAAAAAAAAAAAGTCTCTTCAGCTATACACTCACTTTGTTATAAAAATTATTCACTGAGTTATTTTTAGTGACTTAAACAATTTTTTTCAGGTAGTTTTTTTTTTTTAAAGAATATTTAACCATATCGAAGCTAGTTGTCTGTTTCTAGAAACATACATTTCTATTTTCTGTATCTGATATTTCCATCTATATGGAGGAGTTTTGGGTCTGATTCTGTTATTTCTGGTGGCCTTTGCTCATGGGAGCTTATTTCCTTGTAAGAGAAGAGATTTTTGTTTAATGAAAAAGAGAGGGAGAGAGAGAAAGGAAGGGAAGGAGGGGAAGGAGGAAAGGAAAGGAAAGAGAGAGAGAGAGATCCATAAACTTGCCTCAGCCTCCCAGTTAGCTAGGATTATAAGTGTGTGCTACTGGGCCCGGCCTGAGTTAGGTTGGTCAGAGAGCTGAACGTAGGCCTCCCAGGTGGCTTCAGCCTCAGACAGTAACACTCCACTCCCTGCACCAATGCTGCTGAGCCTGTTCAGAGATTTTATACTGTGAACTGTTCGTTGTCCTTACAACTTCGTATCTGGGGTTCAGAGAGGACTTGTTTGCTTCTCTCAGGTGACTGGGGATGTTGCCAGTTTAGTATGTTATATTCTCTGCTAGAAGTTTTATTAGATCTTCAAGTAGTATTCATTTGGGCTGCAAAACTGAGTGTCTCTTGGTTACAGATTCGTAGGGGACTGTTTTCTGTTCTGGACCAACCTTTACGTTTTATTTTATTTTGGATTCACCATTACTTTAAAGGTATAGCCCTCTGGAAGCTCAGATCTTGGGGGGGGGGAGTACCTTATTAGACGTCTTGCTCTGGCCTTTTAATTAATTATTTATTTGTTTGTGTCATAGGATGTGTGTACTTGCCAGAGAGAGAGACAGAAAGAAGGTAAGTGAGAAATCATCCCCTACTCCCAGGGTGGATGGCTATGTTGCGATCCCTTCTCTATTCTCTTCTTGGGCTTTTAGGCAAGCACGCACATGCACATTGGAGTGATATTCAAGCTGCTGGGTCTGGGGTTTGAATCATGGTCGGCCATGTGGAAATCCAGTGCCTCAACTTCCACACCACCTACTGATCCCTCCCTGACCATTTTTTAAGGTTTCTTTTTTTTTCTTCCATGAGAGAGAGACAGAGAGATATAGCTAGAGAGAGACAGGTACCACCAACAGGGTCTTCATACTGTGGTCCAACCCACTGTCAGCCAGCCTGGATCACAGGCATGTGTGCACACACCCAGTATGCTCAGAGAGGTCCTGGCTTATGAACCTAGGATCTTTCCCATGCGGGTCAAGTTGTGTTATTGCTGTGCCACTACCTGGCCCTCGGAGCATTTTTTGAGGAGGTAAGAACATAATAACTTAAAGGGCTAGCCAGTGGCATGGTGGTTAAAGTGGTTAGATCCCACTTGGCCAACTTCATGGTTTGCGTCTTGGTCCTGTTGGCTTGAAAAACATGCTGGGTGCATGTGCGTGTAGAGGAGACTAGAGAAGGGACTGTGACATGGCCATTCCCCCAGAGGGTGATTTCTCACTCTCCAGTGAGCACATGTGCCCTATAGCAAAAAGTAAGAAAAAGAAGAAGTTAAACAGCACTGGGGTTACTCTGGTTCTCTCATTCTCATGTTCACTTTGCAAGTAGTCTCTCTGGTGTCCTAGCTTTCCCACCCCCTTCATGCTGAGCTCAGCCCTGGACACCATCAGGCCTTCCTCCCCAATATACACAGCCTGTAAGGGGCAATGATTTGGACTGAGAGTTGAGAGGGAAGGAATTTCCTGGGTCTGGGTTCAGTAGCTTTTGTCAGTAGCTTTCTACATGTTCTGGATCAAACCCTGTTGTCCTCCCTCCTCAGAGTTCATTTTCAGAATTTTTTTTTAAGGTTTTTGTCAGAGGGCATGTGTGCTCACAGGAGAGAGATAGTGAGAGGGAAAGTGAGAACTATCTTCCCCCATACTGCCCCCCAGGGAATGGTGGCCACACCCTAATCCACTGTCTTCTATTCTCTTCCTAAGATTTTGGGAAGGCACACATTGTTTCCTCTTTCTTCCAGGTCTGGGACTCGAACCACAGTTGACCATGGGAGTCCAGTTTCTGGACATAACCACTCTGCGCTTGCTGGCCCCATCGTTTTCAGAATTTTTAAATTTTTTTTTTGTAGAGTTATTCTCATATAAATATCACAATGTACTTGTCAAGTGTTTGGAATAGGTTGGTAGATTTTGGTAAGGATCATATTGAGTCTGTAGGTTTGGGACTGGCGTAACTGTTATGCCCACATGTGAAGACAGCATGACCCCTTATTAACTCAGGTGCTGCCGTATCCATAAAGGTCTGTCTAGGCGTTTTGATATTTTTGTCAGTTGTATTCTGTAGTCCTTATGGCCTGTGCTGCAAAACCTTTTTTTTTTTTTTCTTTTTTCCACTTTCTACTCAGTGGTGGCTGATATAGAGGAGGCCTCTAAGTACAGGTGGGTCTTGTGTCCTGCTGGTCAGAGTGGTCTTTCTGGAAGGTTGCCCCAGTGTCAGTCCCTGTTCAGAGCTCCAGCTGGTCCATTCCAGGATTTCAGGTTCCTCATTTTGGCCCGTAGACTGGCCTTTGTCACCTCTGGACTGTGCCTCTGGCAGGCCCTCTCCTGTGGGTCAGGTGCAACCTCAGGTTGCCTCACGCTCCGCCTTCTACTGCAGTGAGACCTGCCCCTCGGCTCTTCTGCTGGGACTCACAGATGGAGAGGGGCTCTGAAGGCAGCCTGGGATCCCATAGCACTGGGGCCTTGAGGCAGATGCCCAGAGCCCCGGCTCTGCTGCTCCCGTGGTGCCCTGCCCCACCCCATCCCTCACCTGGAAGCACCAGCAGTAGGAAGAGGACCAGGACTCTGCAAGTCAGGCCACCAGTTTCAGACATGCATTGGTGATGTGTTGCTTGGCAACCAGGGCAACAGAAGCAGCCCAGGCCACAATTGTTAAGCAACTTGGAACTTACCAGTAGGTGGGCAGGCCTTCCTTCTCAGAGGGTGGCAGGTGCCTTGCCTTCGCCTAGACAGCTCCAGGGACTGAGACAGGAGGAGGCTGCTGGTGGCCCCCAGATAGCTGAACACGGCCCTTTGGGAGGAGGGGCAGATCTGGTCCAGGCACAGAGTGGCAGAGCTGTGACCCCTGCCCTAGGATGTGTGCGCAGGGTGGTGCTGACTTGGGCCGCCTTCCCGGCACAGACCCTGCCCTTACCAGGTCTTCCTCCTTTTCCCTCCCCTGCCCTCCACACACCTACCTCCCCCTGCAAAATAAGGCCTGACTGCCCGCCACCCCCACCAGTGCTATCTTGTGGGCTGTTCTTTGCTTCCACCCCCCTCCACCCAGCCATAGACAGACTCAGGGACAGGACAGTGAAAACTCCAAAGCCAAGGTTTTTTATTACCAGTCAAAGGTGCCCACTCACCAACTGTTGGGAAGAGGTACATTCTGCAGCTCGCGGGGGAGGCCCAGTATTGCCGCCCTTTCTTACATATGTATCATCTGTCATTTATATGTATATATATATATATATATATACATATATAAACAAAACCATTCTTGGAGTAGAAAGAAAAACCCTAAGATGAGCTTTCAGGACCAAACTGAAGTGGGTAGGGCTGGAGTGGAGGGTTCTGAGTAGTGGGACAGTGGCAATGGTGGTCCAGTCTCCCCACGGTTGACAAAAGCCATTGGGAGGGGGTAGGAGAAGACAGGGCACAGCTGACAGGAGGGCTAAACTCAGACAGGTGCACCCTGTCGTCATCATTTTTTTTTTAACTTTCATATACCATAGAACTTTAAGCAAAATAGCTATTTTATATATATTTATATATCATGTATATAAATTAGGCAAATAAACAGTTCAGGGGGCACTGAGATGGGGCACCCCCAGGGCCTCCTGAGGACGAGGCGGGATGCTGGGTGTCTGGTGCCCAGGTCACCAGCCTAGGTTGAGCTGAGGGTTGGTTCATTATTGCTGATTTGGGGTCTGGCTCTCGGGGCAGGGAGTCCCTATAGGCCCTGCCTTCCTGCCCTTCCTGGCCTCTCTGGGGCTGGAGAGCTGGAGTGTTAAAGTCTAGGCAGGGAGCTGCCCCTCTCAGATCCACATGGGGGACACCCTCAGCACCACCCCTTACACCCCGCCAGGGGGTGGTAGCCCCAGAGACTCCTCATGCTCTGTCCAGCCAGGGCAACCGCCTTTGTTCCCACCTCTGTTGGGCCTGGGCTTCTGCAGGACAGGCAATTCAGATCCAGGTGGGGCCTTGCTGTCATGAGCTACGAGATGTGCCCGAATCAAAGGGGTCTGGCTTCCTGATGTCTTAAAAAGGGGTTCTTGCCAGGACACTTCTGTGGCAAGAAAGCACACTTGGAAAGCTCTCTGCTAAGTGCTGTACTAAAAATATTTACTAAACGTCATGGCTGGAGAGAAAACGAAATTGATTTTTCTAAAAAAGTCAAAAGAGGCTCCCTGCAAGGGGCCAGTTCCTCCCTGGGTCGGGGGCTGGTGACTTGGGCAGCCCTTGGCCCGGGCCAGCCGGCCTGAGGTGTGTAACAGGGAGCTGGGGTCCCAATGAGCCTAAGTCCATAATGAAGGGGCACAGGTGACCCGGCGCACCTGGGGGCTGGAGAGAACCCGGGTCAGCCCTTCCTCCTTCCAAGGTGAGAGCCCCAAAAAAGTGTTAAAGAAATAAAGAAAAGGAAATGGGTGGAAATCGGGGGAGGGAGAGGGCCATTCGGTGCTAAATCCAGTGCATTAAGAGAAGGTGGACCCAGCTGTGCAGGCGCCTGTATTTGCTGCAGGGGCGGCGCTCAGAAGATGTTGGGGCACATGTGCCAGTCTTGCCTCTCCTTGGCCTCCCAGTAGCCGCCCTTGTATATGCAGGCCATCTCCCCGGTCAGCGGGTCCAGCCTCTTCTCAAACCACAGTGGCATGTACACTTCTGCCTCCTTCTCTGCTGGGTGGCACAGCAGGCCTGATGGTGGGCTGGGGGCTGCTCCCGGGCCCCCCACCCAGGTACCCGCTCCCCTGGACAATCGCCCCTCCCCTCTCCCCCCTCGCACCCTCCTTGCCCGGCCTCACCTTCCTCTGTGCCACAGCCGCTGCCGGGTGCACAGGCCTCCAGCCGCCTGCCGACAAGCGCTGCTTCTCCTCCAGCCGTTGCTTCTCGGTGTTGGCTTCGTCCCAGCGCCCCTTCTCCATCAGCCGCTGGTCTGGCCGCAGGCGGCTGTCGGTGGGCGCCACGCCCTCCTCCTGCTCATTGAGCGTCAGGGCCAGCTCTGAGAAGTAGTACATCTTCTCCGCGTTCTCCCTGCGGGGCAAACGCAGCGTGAGCGACACCAGGCCCTCCTCTGCCTGGCCTGGATCGGGTCCTGCACCTCCTGGCCCACCAGCTCTCAGCATCCTTCGGGGAATCCCTCTGGCCTAGGGCATACAAGAGGGTGACCCTGTCCACTCCTATGGACCAACCCAGCAAGACTCTGCAGTGTACCTGTGTCAGACTCACTCTATCCCTTTGTGCCCCTTACTTGCTCCACCACCTTTTGCTACAGTAGACATCTCTGGGGATTTGTCTGTTTCATTCAGTTTTTCAAATTTATCAGCATAAAGTTGTTTCCTAATATTTTCATTAGGGGGCTGGTAAGTGGTGTGGTGGTTTAGGTGCTGGATTCCCATATGGCTGACCACAGTTTGAGTCCCAGACCTGAAGGCTTGCTTTTTTGCTTTTTCTGTCTCTCCCTGGTCAAATTTTTAAAAATAATAATAATAAATGAACTTAAGTAAATAAATAATTTTAATTTTAAAAAATCTTCATTAGTAGTGCTTTAATGTCTGTGACAGAACAATATCTCATTTTGTATATGAGGTTGGTTATGTGCACCTATTTCCAACATCCATGTCAGATTTATCCAGTTTATTCATTGGTTGAATATCAAACTTTGTAGGTCCTACTTCAGGATCTTCTGCTTTATTCATTTTCCTATTATATTCCTTCTTTGTTGGGGTTTTAAAAATTATTATTTCCAACAGGTGGCATGGTGGTTTGGATGCTGGATCCCACATGGCAAACTCTGTGGTTTGAGTCCTGGACCACAGAGCTTGTAAAACATGCCAGGCATGTGTGTGTGCTTGAAAAATATCCAAAAAGAAGAATGGAGTAGAAGGGATTGTGGGGTAGCCATCCCCCCTGGGGGGTGATTTCTCACTTTCTGTCTCTGTGTTTCTCTTTGTCTCTCTGGCAAGCAAGTACACCTTATAGCAAAAAAACCTCTCCAAAAAAAAACCCTTTTTTTTTTTTTTAATAAACATTTTTGTCATAGGGCACGTGCACTCACCAGGGAGACAGAGGGAAAATGAGAAACTACCCCCTGGGGGGGTGGCCATGATGCAATCCCTTCTCCATTCTCCTCTTGAGATTTTGGACACAGAAGCACACACACCACACATAATTTTCAAGCTGCCAGGTCTGGGACTCGAACTGCAGGCAGCCATGTGGGATCCAGTGCCTTAACTACCACACCACCTGCTGACCCTCTTTAAGTATAGATAAGTCTCTGTCTCTGTGTACACATTTATAAATGTATTTTGCATACTGAATATGATGTATATAACTGTCTGGACATTTTTTTTAACTTAATGCTATATTACTAGGCTTTATCTATTGTTTCATGTTGCTATGCTTCATTTTTTATTTTCCTGGATGGTATTTCCTCATGAGAATATACCATAGTTATTCATTCAATAAATTTGGGTTGTTTCCAAATTTTTGCTTTTGAAATATCTCATGCATATTTCCTGTGGTATGTCTGCAAGAATTTCTCTTGAGTTTATACCTACAAATGGAACTGCTGGATTACAGAGTATGAGAGAACTTCAGAAGGTTTGTAGAAAAGGGAATTAAAGTCCAAGTTTATTTAAGTGCAAAAACGTTCTGCAATCCATTCATAGTTTTTTCATAAAGCATGTCTTCCACAAACTTTTTGAAGACCCCGTTGTGATAGTTCATCTTTAGGAGGTAAGGCCTGTTTACCCAAGTGATTGTACCAATTTACACACCCATCAACAATGTGTAAGAGATTTTGTGGATCCATATTTTCAAGACTTGGTTTGTCAGACTTCTTTTTTACTAACCAAATGGATATAAAATAGTTTCTCATTGTTTTAATTGGTATTTCCTTTTTTTTAATAGATTAATTTATTTTTAACACCCATCATGCCATGAATTCACAGAGAATAGGTTCCAGTAGCTCAGGCTCCTTTCCATTGGTTCTCACAAAGTGTGCTTCTCTGGGTGGAGCAGGCTTTTGCTTTAGTTGAACCCCAGGTACTTTTCTCTTTGGCTTCTTTCTTTTTCTGGTCATTTTCTTTCACATGTTTTAGGAAGCTATCTCTGCTCTTAGAATGCTTAATATGCTCAATACGCACATTAATTCTCTTGGCAAGAATTTGGCCCTTAACTTGTTTGTTCACAACAATGCCAACAGCATGCTGGGTGACACTGTAGACTCTTCTAGTTTTGCCATGGTAACATTTGTGGGGCATTCCTTTTTGAACTGTACCCATTCCCTTGATGTCTACAATATCACTTTTCTTGCAGATTCACATATATGTTTGCAAAGGAACCACTCTAGGCCTTTATATCGGGTGCCTCTCTTCTTTCCCTTTGTGTTTGTCATTTTGGTTAATTACTGGAAGATGGTGGTTCCGGCCAAAAGAGTTAATTGACATTTCTCTGATTACCAATAACAATGTTCTTGGTTTTCATAAAATTGGCTATATATGTTTATTCTTTTGTGAAATTCTTGTTTCTGATTTTTGCACATTTTCCCCACTGGGTTTTTGGCATATTTGTTGCTTATAAATTCTGTATTCCTTTTTGTAATTATTATCTTTGTTATAAAATATTCTTTCTGTATTCTTCATACTAATTCTTGGTCAGGAATAGTGCTATGATTACCTTTTCCCATGTTTATACATTGTCTTCTTCACTTCTTTAAATTCTTTTAATAAGCAAAAATTATTTTAATGAACAAAAGTATTTTACTGTAGTCAAATGAATCAGTGCTTTTTTTGTTTAAGCTACATTTTTCTTTTGGTTTTATAACTTTATTTGAAAATCAGCAGTTAGTTCTCATCCACATTGACATAGTAGATTTTTGAATGTAGTAACAGGTACATAGGTCACCAGAGTGTAAAGCTTGTTGGGTGAATCTTCATCCTCGGTTCATTTTCTGGACAACTGCACATGGATTCGATATGGGATGTTCCTTATTTCTTTGGCCCAGACAGCTTTGTTGAGCCTGGTGTCAATATGCACATCTGGAAGTCCCCATCTCTTTCATGGCAAATTTCTGGATTTGGGATTTCTTTGAGTGCCCGAGGAGCACGTTTCTTGAAGTCCATGCCATGAATGCGCTTGTGAATGTTGATGGCGTATTCCTGGGTCACCACCTCGCTGATGGCAGAACTGCCCTTCTTCTTCTTGCCACCCTTCTTTGCAGGAGCCATTCTGCCTGACCTAAGCTGGAAACTAAGCTATATTTTCTTAAGGTCTAAAAGATATCCATCTATGTATTTTACTTACAGTATTAATATATAATTTAATATTAAGTCATACTTAATATTTCTTGTAAGACCTTTATCTAGAGTCAATTTTTGTTATAATGAAAGGGAGAGATTCAGTTCATCTAGATAACTATGTTTTTTTCCTAGATCCATTTAATGAAAAGTCCTACCTGTTTACATGTTTGATATATGACAGAGTGTGATATATCCAAAGATACACACATCCATAGGCCTGTTTCTGGGCATATTATTCCATTCTACACTCTCTGGTCTTCAGAAATATCCTAGCCCTTTATTATGCTATTTAAATATAAAATTCCTGGGACCAGCAGTTAGTGTGATGGCTATGTTGCTGAACTCCCATGTAGCCAACCGTGCTTCAAGTCCCAGACCCAGTGGCTTAAACTCACGCCAGGCATGCGTGCGCAAATGCCCAAGATCCTGAGAGGAGAATGGAGAAGGGATTGTGGTGTGGCCATCACCCCTGGGGGGTGATTTCTTGCTTTCTATTTCTCTCTCTCTCTCTGTCTTTCTGGCAAGTGTACACGCCCTATAGCAACAAAACAAAACAAAACCTCTCTAAATAAAAAAAATATACATAAAATTTTTAATGTCAAGTTCCATTAAAATGCCTGTAGGGGTTTTGTTTGATTTACTAACTCTTTAAGTTATGACACTGTTATAGTACTAAAACTTCCTATCCATGAACATTGACTTTCTCCATTTATTCAGCTCTTTTTTGATGTATTTTAGTAAAATTTAAATTTTTTCTCTATATGGGTCTAGAATATAAGATTTATTACAAGGGCCTTGATATTCTCTGATATAATTGGTATCCTCTCTTTGCTTACATTTTTTTTATTGTTTGCTGTTAGTGTATAAAAACACAGCAGACTTTTTGCATGTTAATCTTATACGTATCTTGGCTCCTAAAAAGGTTTTTCTGAATCTACTGAAATTTGTTAGCACGATTAATTTATGATTGTTTAATATAAAACCATTCTTGCATATCTAAGATAAATTCAACAAAATTCCATAATGTTATCTTATACACTGCTGCATTGGATTTTTGGATATATTTTGGAATTTTGCTTATATTATTCATAGGTGAAATAGAGTATAACTTTTATTTTCTTACTGCTGTCTTAGTCTGATGTCATATGAGGATTATTCAGGCCTCAGACTATAGGAGAAGAGAGTATTTCCTCATTTTTTGTGTTCTGGAAGTCTTTCAATGAAACTGAGATAGTAAGTTCTTGAAAATTTGGTAGAATTTACCTGTTAAATGAGTTAAGCCTTCTTTTCCCTAATGGTAATTTTGAAATTGCTGCTTCAATTTATGTAATTACTATAGGACTATTTATACTTTTTATTTTTTCTAGAGGCAGTTCTTGGAAGTTATATTTTTCTAAGAATTTCCTTCCATCTAAGTTTTAATGACCTCTTTATACTGTATGTATCTTATGAAATGTTTTTCATTAATAATTATTTCTTGAGGCCAGCAGATGGTGTAATGGCTATGTCACTGGACTCCCATATAGTTGACCGTGGTTTGAGTCCCAGACCTGGTGGCTTAAACTCACACTGGGCACATGTGTGTGCATGCCTAAGATCCTGAGAGGAGAATGAAGGAGGAGGGATTGTGGCATTGCCATCTCCCCGGGGGGGTGATTTCTCGCTTTCTGTCTGTCTGTCTCTGTCCTTCTGGCAAATGCACACACCCTATAGCAAAATCCTCTCTTTATTAAAAAAAAATTACTTCTAACATGATCAGCCTTATAGTTTTCTCTTTTGTCAGTTGTTTTCCCCTCAAAGAATAGATTTTTAGCTTTATCAAATTTATTTATTTTTCATTTTTTATTTTATTGATTTTTGGTTTTATTTTTTAAAGTATACTTTCTTCTCTCTTTGGGGTTTATACACTGAACTTTCGCTAACTTCTTAGAATGAAAATTCAGAAAGAAAAAAAACCCTCAAAATTAAAATTATTTAAGGCAATAAATTTCCTCTGAAGCATTGCCTTTTTTGCATCCAGCCAATTTTGACACCTTTTATATCATTCAGCTCTAGGTATTATTTATTTATTAAAAAGATTTTTGCTATAAAGCGCATGCACTTGCTAGAGAGACAGAGACAGACAGACAGATAGAAAGCAAGAAATCACCCCTCAGGGGGATGACCACACCATAATCCCTTCTCTTCCATTCTCATCCTGGATTTTGGGCATTCAGGCACACATGCCCAGTGTGAGTCTTAAGCCACCAAGTCCAGGACTCAAATCATGGTTGACTCTGTGGGAGTCCAGCAACCATTATGCCATCTGCTAGTCCCATTCTAGGTATTTTTAAATGTGCATTCTAATTTATCATTCATGTGTTATTTAGCAACTTAAATTTCTTGACAGATGTGATTTTTTTTCATTTTGTTCATAACTTTTAATTGTCTTATTATACTGGATTGTTGGAAAAGTCAATTCACTACTTTGCACAGAAAAAATACATCATGACTTTTCTGATAATCCAATACATGTGATTTGTATGCCACCTTCTAAACTTGTTGATGCTTTCTTCAGGGTTTAGTACATACATGATCAATTTTGCAAATATTCCATGTGTACTTGAGAAACAGTATGTTATCTCAGTTTGTGTATATTCCATATTGTTTCAATCTCCTTTATATTCTTGCTGTTTTATTTTTGTTTGGCTTGATTTTCTTCACATTTGACCTATCAACTAGTGATGGGGATATATTGAAATTTCCCAGTCTCCAACTAAAATGATGGGGTTATCAGCTTCTCCCCTAATTATCAGTAGGTGCTTTGTATGTTCTTGAGGCTGTTTTATTTCAAGCATAATATTTGAAACTATTATATCTACTTGATGAGCTCAACTTTTTATTAGATAGCAACTTTTTTATCACTTAGAATTTTTATTTTATACACATTGAAAGCGTTCTTTCAGTGCAATTTTTCAGATTATTATTTATTATTATTATTTATTCTCATTATTTTTTAACATTCAGTCACTGTATATCATTTGGCTTGTATAAAGAATTTACCCAGGGACCAGCAGTTAGTGTAGTGACTATGTCACTGAACTCCCATGTAGTCGACTGTGGTTTGAGTCCTGGATCCGGTGGCTTAAACTCATGCCGGGAGCATGTGTGTGCATGCTCGAGATCCTGAGAGGAGAATGGAGGAGAAGGAATTGTGGCATGGCCATCCCTCCTGGTGGGTGATTTATCGCTTTCTATCTGTCTCTGTCTTTCTGGCAAGCGCACATGCCCTATAGCGAAAAAACTCTCGCAAACCAGCAGTTAGCGTAATGGCTATGTCGCTGGACTCCCAAGTAGTTGACTGTGGTTCGTGTCCCGGACCCGGTGGCTTAGAACTCATTCTCGTTTTGTGGGGGGGGGGCCCCCCCCCTTAAAAAAAAAACCTAAAAAAAAAAAAAAAAAAAAAAAAACTCTCCAAAAAAAAAAAATTACCCAACATGAAATACTTCTCAGACCAGTCCAGTTGAGAATACTATACATGTTATCATCGACAAGTAATAAACCATTTCTGTATCCTACTGATGTCATGCCCTACTATTTGTTCTCTTGCTATCCTTCTCTATACTCTTCCCTTCTACTGCTCTGTTCCACACTGTCTTCAGCATCCATAACTATTTTCACAGATTTTATGCCCTCCAATATTTCAGCCTCTACCATAAAGTATGGTTAGTATCTATTAAGTGGATACATATAGTATCTTTCTTTCATATCCTAGTTTGCGTCATTCAACAATAGATCCTCCATATTTATATGACCACTTCCTATCGAATGCCAGGGTCTTGTTTTTTTATGGCTGAGTAGTATTCCATAGAGTATATGCGCCACATTTTTTCCATCTGTTTATCTGTTTGTGGATATTTAGGTTGGTTTCATGTCTTAGCAATCGTGAATAATACTGTAATAAACATTGATGTGCAAGCACTTTTCCAACCGAGCATTCTCCTGTCCTTTGGGTAGATACCCAGAAGTGGGATTGCTGGATCAAATGGTAGTTCTATTTGTAGATCTCAGAGGAACCTCCATATTGTTCTCCGCAGTGGCTAAACCAGTTTACATTCCCACCAACAGTGTAGGAGAGGTTCCCTTTCAACACCACCTCTTTTTTTTTTTTTTTTTTTTTTTTTTTTTGGAGAGGTTTCTGATTTTCCCTCTCTCTTTCTTCAGGCAAGTGCAGGCACCCTATAGCAAAAAAAGAAAAAAAAAAAGGAAAGAAAAGAAAATTCTCTTTCTGGGATTCTAACTAGGAAGTGCTAGACCCTACTTTCAAATTGAGCAAGTTTGAATACCCTGGGGATCTGATTAAAGTACAGGCTCCTTCCTACCCAGAAGGTCTGGAGGGAGATTCTCAAACTAACAAGCTCCCAGGGGGTCTAGCTAGCCTGCTCCAGGACCTCACTCTAGGCCACCGAGAGCTTCCCTCTCACTGCAGCTTCTCATCTTTTCCCAGTTTTGTCTTTATGCTACAGTTGGATCATTTCTCCTGACCTACATTCAGGTGACAGATTCTCTTAAACCTTTCCATGGAGTTCTCAGTTTCAGTTATTTTACTTTTTCTTTGCAGAATTTCTACTGCAGGAAACAGGAAACATATCTTCAAATATACCAGATTTAGGCGCTGGCAGGTGGCGTGGTGGTTGGACTCTCACATGGCCAACTGCGGTTTGAGTCCCAAACCTGGTGGCTTGTTTTCTCACTTTCTCTCTCTCTCTCTCTCACTCTGTCTCTCTCAGGTCAAATTTAAATAAATAAACAAATAAAATAAATAAAGTTAAATAATTCTTTTAAAAAAAATGTATCTTCAAGTTTGAACTGTATTTCCTGGAGCCACGTACGGCGGGACTCTGCCCTGTCTCCTTGCTTGAAGTCTCTGCATAGAATTTGCCACCACCTAGTAGGTTCACATTTATTTCCTGTTGGTGTCTGGTTTCCACGCTGGTGTGATAGCACTGTTTTCTGCCCACGCGGGGACTGAACCCTCTGACCTTGTGTGCCTGCCATTTGCCTCTTGTCCAGGAAAGGTGTCCTCTGCCTGTCTACTGCTCGCTCGCCTCCTCTTCCTCACTCGTCCTTTCTCCCCTGCCCTGTACCAGGAAGGGACAGCCCCTACTCACGGAAGCGGGTACTTCTTCCATAGCAGCTTGGCCGGCAGGGTCTGGTACACCGTCTTCTGCTTCCCATCGGAGCTTGGGCTGCTGGGGCTGCTCTGCACGATCTTGGAGCACTCCATCTGCTCATCCCAGGAGCCTGACAGCACGTAGTGGGCCTTGCCCTGGCCGTCACTCACCACTCCTGTCACCTGTGGACATTGGCAGGACCAGTGTAGGCACATGCCCATCCCGGGCCCCCTGTGGTTCCGAGGGGTGGCCCTGCTCACCTTTCGGGCTGCCTCTTTGGAGAAGTAGCTATAGGGCAGGAACTTCAGCTGGCAGCGGTCATTGGTCTTATGGTTCACGATCTCAATGTCCCCTGACTGGTGAGAAGGATGCAGTCAGTGACTCATCCCCAGGCTGTCCCCCCACCCCCAGGGCTGCTCTGACCTGGTCGATCCAGAGCTTGCCCACGATGATGTTGTGCACCGTCGAGGTGCTCTTCCTCCACACGTAGTGGTTCCCGCTGGCCTGGAATTCTAAGTGGATGGCACCTGGGGGCCGGGGACTGGTGAGCAGCCCTGGCCAGCTCAGGCACAGGCCCCATGTCTTAAGAACCACAGGAATATTGATGCAAGGTGGGGTGGGGGTGGGGGTACAGGCCACAAAAGCTGTCGGGGTAGGGTTAGACCTGCAGGGAGGTCTCCCCTGGAAGCCCCAAGCCACTCTGGGGCAGGAACAGCCCTCCCTCTCAAGCAGAATGTCTTGCGGTCCCGGAGAGCACAGGGTCCCCCTCACCTAGCGGCATGATGGAGATGTATTTCCCCCGGAACTTGCTGGAGATGGTGATCTCCTGCCAGAGGCTCCAGCCATGCTTGGAGAACACGTAGTGCGCGGCTGAGGGTGGGTGGTGGCTCACCTGAGACCAGAGCCCGGGCAGGTGAGCACTCGCTGGACTGGGCCAGGCACTACCTCCTCCAGCCAGGGAGGGGCAACCTGCCTCGCCCCCAAGGCAGACCCCCAGAAGGACAGTGCCCAGAGCAGAAGAGCAGCCCAGTGGCTGTCCTGGGACTGCCCGACCCACGGTGAGTGGGAACTCAGGGCCTGGGTGTCCCCGTGTCTGCTCTTGGCGGAGACAGGACTGGTGGCAGACTTTACCTCAAGGACATGCTGGTGAAGCTGCAGCTGCTGGGGTTCGTTTGTTTTGCTTTGTTTTGTTTGTTTTTGCTGTAGGTCATGTGTGTCACCAAAGCCAGACAGAGGGAAAGGAAGAACTCATCCACCCCACCAATGGATGGCCATGCTGCAATCTCTCTTCCTCCGTTTTCCTCTCGGGATTTTGGGCATGCACACACATGTGCCTGGTATGTTTTTCAAACTGCTAGGTCTGGGACTCAAACTAGGCAGTCAGCCGTGTGGGATCCAGCCGCCTTAACCACTGTGCCAAAGCTATTATGCTTGACCAAGGGCTTCAGTGCCCACTTCCTCATTTAGTCCTTGCCAAGGCCTGGAAGGGGCTGTGTCCATTGTGCTGTGTTATCTTCGGGGACCCAGACTGGAGAAGCCATTTCCACCAAGGGACGAAGTTGGGCACTGCCCCCGGTCCTGCCTCCCTCTAAGGCTGAGTCCACTGCCCTGGCTACCTGCAGGCCTGACTGCCCCAGTCTGGGGCCCCAGCACGCGGCTCCCTGACGGCTGCCTTGCCTTCCAGGACACTGGTTCTCTCCCCCCACCGGCAGGTCCGTCCTGATCCCACGAGCCCCTTGGCTGCAGAGGCCCAGGTGCCACCTTTCCCCGGACTGCACCTTCCCCAGGGCACCTTATCTCTTGGCCACAGGCAGGCCCCCAGCCCCAGCCAGCTCCAGACTCCCTGGCCTAACTGACAGGATGCCCTCCCGCTGTGCCTCACAGTCTCCATCTTGGCAAGCAGCAGCCCACTCACTCCTCGTACCTCAGAAATGCACACCCAACCTACAATGGGTGAGCTGTCCCCAAACGCAGTCACCTATGGCTGGGCCTCCACAAGCCCACTAGAGCCACCCTATGGGCAAAGCCAGGGGTGTGACCTCACGGGGTGTCCCTGCAGCTTTGCCTCGTCTACGCCTCTGTACCAGCCCCACCCCCAGTATTTGAGCTGTGCACACCAGACGCTTGGAGTCTCTACCCCTCTGCTGCTTTCTCATGCTCCTTAGCAACTCCTGTCCATTTAAGGCACACCCAGAGGGGACCACCAGATGACATAATAGTTACATCATTGGACTCCCCCATGGCTGACTGTGGTTCGAGTCCTGGACCCAGCGGCTTGACATTCATGCCAGGTACGCGTGCGTGTATGCCCAAAATCCTGAGAGGAGAATGGAGACGGGATTTTGGTGTGGCCATCCACCAGGGCGTGATTTCTCACTTTGTCTCTCTGTCTATCTCTCTGACAAGCACTTGTGCTCTATAGCAAAAATCTCTCCAAAAAAGGAGGGACACCCAGAATCCGCCTCAACCCCCACCTTCCAGGCTTCTTGGGAGAACACTGTCCCCACTGCTGCCAAAGGGATCCCATGTAAGTCAGGCCCCGTACACAGCCATAGCCCACTGCACCCTTTCCTTCCTCCCTCCCTCCCTCCCTCCGCCTCAGCCACACTGCTCCCGACCACCTCCTTTGTGAGAGCTAGCACACCCAGTCATGTCCGTCTCCCCAGCTGTGTGCTCATCACCTGCCCAGCTGCTGGCACATGGGGGGCACTTGACACAGCTGACTTTTCTCAGTGGGTCAGGCCTAGGACCCAAGGTCACCGTTGCCTTCCCCCCACCCCCACATCGAAAGGCGGCATTGGCAAACCTGCTGGCTCTACCTTCAAAGCTGCGTGTGCTCTGGCCACCGCACCCCCATGCAGCTGCTGCAGTCACCTCCTCAGCCCGGCCCCCGGCCCCCGGCTATGAAGTGCCTGCCTCTAACGGCAGCCAGGGCTTGCCTGACAAGGGTGCCCAGGCTCAGTGTCAAGATGTCACCACTAAGGTTCCCTGGCTCATTTCAGTGGGAAGGGAATAGAAAGGGAGTTGGGTGGAGGGGACAGGGGCTGGCCAGGGCAGTCCTTCCCTGATGAGCGCAGCCCCAGCTCCTGCCTGCTGTTTTGCAGGCCAGTGGGGACCCCACCTCTGGTCTGCAGATGTCCCTCCACCTCTGCTCCATGGTTCCCTGGCCATGTCCTCCTCTTATGTACAAGACTCAACTCTGTCCTCACTGAGCTTTCATGTCCCTTACTGTCTCCAGGAGACAGTGTGACATCCCTGTGGGCTGGGCAGTCGGGGTCAGAGGCTGTATCCCACTCATCTCGTCCTGACCCCCGGCCTGGCAGGAGCAGCTTGGCCAGGGTGTGAATGGGTACCGCGCAGCACCAGCCCGGCAGGTCACCTGCTCGCAGAGGGAACGCAGGCCCATGTCATCCATGCGGTCCAGCTCGAAGGTCTCCCCCAGCATGGGATTGAAGGGCTTGGCGATGCGGTGCACAGTGGTGGAGTAGGAGGACACGGAGAAGGCAGCCACCAGGCACATCTGCTCCACGGAGCTAGTGCAGTGCACGGCCTTGTCCAGCAGGTGGTGGTACTCCAGGTCCTCCGTCAGCCGCTGGAGCATGGACAGGGGCTCATTAAAGTTCACCTGCGGGCAGGCGGTGGGCAGGGTGGTCAGGCCGGGTCGTCACATCATCTTGCTTTTCTCAGGTGGTCAGGGACGTCCCTGCCCGACACCAGTCCCCAGCCTCTTTCAGCGTGTTATATGCATGTTTCCTGTTTGCTGTGACTCCATAAAGACTGGGGTGTCTGACTGGCCCTCTGTTGGACGGTCAGTGCTGAACCACTGGAGTCCGGAGTGAATAAATGAGTGAACGACTGAGCGGGTCTGTGACCGGAAGTGGTCTTCCTCGTGTTCTGGGCTGGGATGTAAGTGTTCTGTTGAGGGCTCCAGGGAGGGCCCTGCATACAGCGAGTAGGGTTCAGGGTCCCCTGTGAGGCTATGGAGCACAGTCTTCCCCACACTCTCTCACTCCAGCCTCCCTGACACTGAGAAGGGGACACCGTGATGGGGCAGACACAGAGGTCAGTGATTCAAAAGGACGTAGGGAACTAGATGCCACCATAGCCTGATGACACGAGGACCCCAGTCTTGCCCTTGGCCTACTCTGTGACCTTGCTGAGCTGCCATTTCCAGGGGAGGACACCAGGGACACCTGGCACCCCTACACACACAGCCCAATCCTGCTACTCGCATCTCCTGTCCTAGGACAGCCAGGACGCCGTGCGGTCAGTCAGGTCTGGAGGTGTTTGAGGTCGCTCATGTCCCTGATCCACGTAGAGCCCACCCTGGCTCCCCCCATCAGAGCCCGAAGACCCCTGCTCTTTGGGGATTTGGGCAGTGCTGATAACACGAGTCGAGCATCCATTATGCACTCCTTGGGCCATCACACAAATGACACCCAGGGCTGCGGTGCTTCCCACAGGCCCCGGGCCACCCACCGGCATAGGGATCCTGGAGAGCTCCCGGCCGATGCAGTTCTTCATGATGCTCCAGAGGTTAAGGCTGTAGTTGGGCTTGTCGGGGATGCGGACGCGCCTCTTGACTTTGGATGAACCCTTGGGCACGAGTGAGGCACCATCTAACACCTGCCGGAGAGGTCGGGCAGGCCTGTCAGAGGGAGCCGAGTGCAGCTGGAACTTCCAGGTCCCCGCCCTCATCTCTGCCCTCTGAGGACAAGTGCGAGGGGCCGCTGGCATGCTGCTGGCTGGAAGGGCAGGGAGCTTTGCTTGAACCATTACATGGAGGCAGATCAGGGCCCCAAACATAGCCAGAGCGCTGGGCCTGCCCCAGTGATCCAGAGCTCGGGTACTGGTATCCCCCCCTCGTCCAAGTAGAGCCCGACCCCAGGCCAGGAGCTGCCCCAACTCTCGGGGTGCTCCCGCTTACATTGTCGGTCGCGGTCCAGTCCACAGAGCCAGTCCCACTTCCACCTTCCGCTTTCCTACAGGAAACACAAACAGCGGGGTGGGGAGCACAAGTTATTGGCAAATCGTGAGGTGTCCTCAGAACCTGGTCCACCCTCCGTCCAGACCCTGTCGTAAGGTCTGAGGGGCTGCTTCTCCAGTGGGGCATCTCCAATCCAGGACACTCACGGTGTGGGCCAAGGGACCAGATGGCCTTTGGAGAAGCCCTGCCCGCTGGTGCCCCCAGCAGCAGCCGCTCGGCAAAGCCCTTGCCGGGTGTCCCTGCATGCCCTCTCCTGGGGACTGGCTAGCCCAGAACCAAGGTGAGGTCAGAGGTGGGTATCTCCTTTGGGAGGGCCTTGTAGGACTCATGGGCCCCTTTCTGATCTGGACAGGCCCCACCGTATCCTTGCTGTCTGCTGGTCTGACTCCCATGTGAGACTGGGGTTCCTGATGGGCATGAAGCAGGGCCGCCCCAGCCCTGGGCCTATGGATACCTGTGGGGCAGCAGGGCACTTTGGTCAAGGGGCTCAAGTTCTGGGTGACCGTGGGTCAGCCACAGCCAGGAACAGGTCCTTGGCAGTCAGGGCCTCAAGATGGGAAGGGAGGGAGTCACTGTCATTAGGGGCACCCAGGCCCTGAGTGGCTCCAGGCCTGGGAGGGTTGGAGGGTGCTGGAGGCAGCCAGGGTGGGACTGTCCTGCATGCTGCGGAGCCCAGAGGGTGATGGTGCCGGAGACAAGGTGGAAGGAAGGTCGGCAGGACTGTGCTGCGCCATGCCGAGAGCAGCAGAGGCAATGCAGAAGTGTCCCTGGGAAAAGGGGTAGTCCTGAGCCGGAAACACTGCTGGTGGCCCAGAGACTCCCGGGGAGCTGGAGAGACCTGAACAGCCCTTTCTCTGGAAGACCCTGGGACCAGGAGTGGGTATAGCACATCGGGCTACAGGTCCCACAGCTGGGGACTTTCAGTGGCCTGCTCATGCCAGCCACAGCCCGACCAGGGGCTGCACCCAGCCTGCCTGCCTGGCTCACACTTTCTACAGCACACCTGTGCGTCCCTGTGCAGGGCACACCCGTGAATCCCGAGAGGCTGGCAACATCATTTCCATGCTAGTGACCGTCCCCATCCCTACTGTGATCTCCTGTGCATTCAGAAACACCCCTGAGAGCGCTGGGCTTTCCCCAGTCCCCACGGTGTGTTATCATATGCTTTCAGAAACATCCCCAAAGTGCCAGCTTTTATGACAAGTGAAACAAAGACTTGGAAATAGAAAATAAGAGACTCTCGGATCTCTCGCCTGTTGCTGAACAAGGACACAGTGGAGGGGGCGGGTGGGACCCTGAGCAGCTCTTAGGTAAGAATGAGCCGGCTGGGGCCTTTGGGACTCCAGCCCCAGGACGGATCTAAGCCGAGCCGGCTGGGGCCTTTGGGACTCCAGCCCCTGGGTCCCAGCCCCAGGACGGATCTGAGCACAGCCAATGCCCACCTCACCAGCTCCATTTTAAATTAAAAGCCTGGTGAAAGAAACATTGGGCACTTTGGGTTTAAGGAACAAACCGAATCGAAGTGAAAATGCATTAGGAACCAGACGTAAAGAAAGAAAGCCAGATGGAGCCCGAGAACCAGGCAGACCCTGGTAGCAGCTGCCCCCAAGCCAGGCCATCCCTGCCGGGGGAGAGCCCCACCTGTCGTCCTTGGTCTCGGTGATCACGGTGATGAAGGATGTGGAGTCTTCCATGGCATCGAAGTACTCGGTATCTTCATCTTCCTCACTGTCCTCGCCTTTGGGAGTCAAGAGGCTTCCTAGAGAAAACAGCTGCTGCCTTCATTGGCAACTTCAGCAAAGGCTCGGCTGGCCGGCCTGTGACGTCCGGAGCCAAGGGCC